AGTAAACAATAAAGATCCCATTCCTAATGAAAAACAAGTTCTTAAACTAAATATTAATTATAATGACACAGTACAGCATCCCTTTAATAATAATAAAGACGATGCTAACAACAAATATGTATTAACGGCAAAAGTTAATAATAAGCCAATTTCTTGTTTCGTTGACCTGGGCAGTGAATGCTCAATCATGCGAGAGTCCGAGGCCATGTCTTTAGGTTTGAAATTGACTAAAGATAATTTACCTTTTATGCGAGGTTTAGGCAATTCAATTGTTCAGCCAATAGGCAGAGCTTCCGTTAATATTGAAATACAAGGCATTATAGAGACCATAGAGGTATATATTGTCGAAGACGCAGTCTTGAAATATTCCCTTTTACTTGGACATTCATTCACAGAACTGCCAGATATTTTCATTACCAAAACTCCAAGACGCCTGATATTTGAACGAATCAATAAGTCCTCGAAACTATTATTGCTACTCCAACGTAACGTTGAAGTAGGGGTGAACGAAATGCAGGCTGTGCCTGTTTATACTGATTCCCTGTTCAATGGTAAAATTTACATTGATGGCTCGATCCGAGGTACGCCTGAACACGAATATTTTCTTTGTCCTGGCGAATACGATTTAAAAAATGGTTACGGGAATGTTTTGGTACAGAATGTATCTGGTGGTTGTGTTAAATTTCCTGCTAACTTTTTAATTACACGTGCAATACCCATTAACAAAGTAACAGATGTCTGTAACTTAGAAATAGAGCCAGAAGAATCGTTCGAAAAATTAAACGTCAATGAAAATTTAACCAAAAATGAAGTAGATGATTTGAACAAATTATTAAATGAATTTAAGGATTGTTTTTCAACCGGGCTTAAGGATTTAGGTTTTACTAACGTCGCAGAAATGGAAATAAAACTGAAAGATTCCGATCCTGTTGTCTATCGGCCGTATCGTCTGTCTTATTCTGAACGGGTTCTCGTACGCGATATGGTACAAGAAATGCTGGATGCCAATATTATCCGTGAATCCTCATCTCCCTATGCCAGTCCAATAGTTCTCGTTAAAAAAAAGACAGGCGAGAAGCGACTATGTGTAGACTACCGCGCCCTTAACCGGAAAACCATAGAGGACCATTACCCCCTTCCTCTAGTAGAAGATCAACTTGATCAATTGGCAGGACATACTTTCTTCATCTCACTAGATTTAGCCTCTGGCTATTACCAGATCCCAATTTCGGAAGATTCTCAACCTAAAACGGCTTTTGTGACCCCAGACGGCCAATTTGAATATTGCGTATGCCTTTCGGCTTAGTCAACGCCCCGTCAGTCTTTCAGCGCACTATTAATAAGATATTAGCTGAAGCCAAAATTAAATTCGCTCTCGTCTACATGGACGACATTCTAATACCTGCTCATAGTTTTTCTGAAGGAATTGAACGGTTAAGAGAAGTTTTGCAGTTATTAAGGCAGGGTGGTTTGACCCTAAAGTTAAGCAAATGTAATTTCTTTTTGACCCAATTAGATTTTTTTGGTTTTGAAGTTGGACCTAAATGGTATTCGTCCCGGCAATAGGAAAACTCAAGCTGTTTACAACTTTCCCGTTCCTAAAAATCAACACGAGGTACGCCAGTTTATGGGACTCGCAAGTTTCTTCCGGCGGTTCATTAAAGATTTCGCCATTATTGCTAAGCCTTTAACAGATTTATTACGAAAAGACTGTAATTGGAGATGGACTTCTGAACAAGAAAATGCTTTCACTTCAATCAAAACCAAACTACTTTCTCGACCAGTTATTGCTTTGTACAATCCATCTGCTGAGACCCACTTGCATACTGACGCATGTAAAAATGGCGTAGCTGGAATCTTACTTCAAAAAAACAAAGATGGTGTTCTCTGCCCCGTATCGTATTATAGCCGCAAAACTACAGTAGATGAGCAGAAACTCCACGCATTTGAGTTAGAAACCCTTGCGGTTGTAGCTTCTCTACATCGTTTTAGAGTATACTTAATAGGAATTCCGTTCAAAATTTTTACCGATTGTAATGCCCTGAGAACCACATTAACAAAACGAGACTTAATTCCGCGCATCGCTCGGTGGTGGATTCAGTTACAAGAGTTCGACTGTTCGATCGAATATAGACCCGGGGATAAGATGTCTCACGTCGATGCGCTTAGTCGCAACCCAGTAGATCCTGCAAAATCTGAATCTCATGTTCTTGACGTTCTCAACATTGAAACCGATAACTGGCTTAGTACTGCACAGATGGTAGATGATGAGATAGTGTCAATTAAAAAAGCCCTCAGCAGCCCTGATACCGAAAAGTTATTAGATGTCCGTAATAATTATAAATTAAAAAATGATAGAGTTTATCGGATTGTTGACAATAACTTACGTTGGGTTGTTCCCAAAGCCATGCGTTGGCAAATCCTAAAACGAAATCACGACGATATCGGTCATTTCGGATTTGAAAAAACCCTTTCACGTGTTAAAGATGCGTATTGGTTTCCCAAACTACGTAAATTCGTTAAGAAATATGTATCTGCTTGCTTAGAATGCGCGCACCATAAACATGCTGGAGGCTCTCGGGAAGGCGAATTACACCCAATACCTAGAATAGATAGACCCTTTCATACAATACACGCAGATCATTTGGGTCCATTTATCCGAAGTAAGCGTGGTAATTGTTATATTCTCGTAATTGTTGATGGTTTTACGAAGTATGTAAACATACGCCCTGTCAGGAACACCAAAGCAATGACCACAATACGTGTTATTAGGGAACATATCAGCTACTTCGGGGCTCCTGCCAGGCTAATAACCGATCAAGGTTCATGTTTTACAAGCCACGCGTTTAAAAAGTTCATGAAAGATACGGGCATTAAACATATCCTAAATGCAGTTTCCACACCTAGAGCCAATGGCCAGGTTGAACGTTTTAACAGAACGATTTTAGATGCTTTATCCACCAAGTCTCATGGTAGGGACGATAGAACATGGGACGAGTTTCTCCCCGATATTCAGATTGGTATTAATACTACAATTCACAAAACAACAAAAAAAAGCCCATCTGAATTACTCTTCGGATTCAAATTGACAAATCCCTCTGAATGTATTCTGAGCGAAATAATTGATGATACACTAGATGAAACCTCACCTACAGACGTAACCTCAATAAGAGAGGACGCCTGTAAACGTATAGAAGTACAACAGGCTAAAGACAAAAAACGTTTTGACAAAAGGAGAAAGATTAGTGCGAAATATTGCGAGGGGGACTTAGTGAGAGTAGAAAGAGACGTAACTTCAAATGATGGGAAATCTAAAAAGTTAGTAGCCAAATTTCAAGGCCCTTATCGTATTTGCAAAATATTACCGAACGATAGATTTGTTATAGAAGATACTCCGCTAACACGGAAGAATAACAGGCGCTATGAAACTATAGTAGCTATCGATAAAATTCGCCCGTGGATGAACCTTAACACAGACTTAGGAGGTAGTAGTAGCGATTCTGATGATGACCGTAGCTTGGACAGTGGAAACTCTTCGGGATTGGCAGATAAAAATAGTGCTTAATATTTTTGTAGGTATAATTTTGATCATAATTATTGTTTAGATCTCATTAATACATGCATTTGGTACAAATGGTATAATTTGTGTACCTACAAAAAATTAGGATTATTATTAATTAATAAGTATTTACACTTTATAACGACACTTGTTTTATATTTTCTATTTGGCTTCTAATTCCATGTAAATGGAACAGGAATTATATTCTGTCGTCTTAATCAATAAATAATGCGAATAATTTTGATGAGTATAGTTATATTCTAGCAAATCATTTGTGTTTAACTGAGTACTCTAAAATACTTTGTATAATGATTTCATACTTATTACAAATTATTAGTCACCTATAATAGTAAACTATATTTAACGAACATAATTTATTATTTGTAAAATACAAGGCTCATTTTATTGCAAATGAAATAATTTGATTTGATTATTATGATTTGTAAACAAAGTACCTATGCGTTGTGATTATCTATTACTGGTAAGCATTTATTCATGTATACTTTAGTTTATATTTATTTCATGATTTATTTGCTAAATATAAATAAGATACTAGGTATGAGGACATACCGCTTGTCTGATGGCCGAGCTGTTAGGTGCAACATAATTATGGTATAAATACTCTGACAGTTTACCTCTACTTGAGCTGTATAATTTTGTATTCCTTTGCCAAGGCTGTATAGTTTTGTATTCCTTTGCCGAAGCATAGAGTCAAGTAGTGGGGTATAGTGGTGGGGGCAAGCTGACGTAAGTAATGCTACGCCGGGCGGACGGCACTCTCAGCTCGACAGTCGAGACGAACGGTTGTGCCTTGAAGTCTACTAAGTTATAATTTAATCTTACTTGTGATTGTGCAAATGTGAAGTGAATAAAACAAATAATACTGAGAAGACTTCGTTTGATTGCAATAATCCTGCTNGACCACTTTATGTTTCATTCCATACAACGAAAATGGAAAATATTTTTTTCCAGTCAAACTATTGGTTTTAGAGAAAAACTTGTGAAGCATTTATTCATCAGAATAACGTAACCTATCGATAGGTATTTTTTTCAAATAGAAATTGTGAAAAAAATCGCTATGTCCATAAATCTCAATTTCGCTCCATAGTGTGGCGGAGGAAATACATGATTTAGCATGAATTATCATGAATAATAACTACTTATTTACCTCTCAGTGTCTTGAGGCAACTTAAAAAAGTACATTCTGTGTTTTTACTGCACATATTTAGTACACCATTTTCTTTATTTTCTTCCATCATACACAAGAATACGCGTGCGTGAGTCAATGTTCGCTCGTATGTGAGGCCTTGTCGAATAGTATCCTGTAGGTGGGCCATCGTGCGTGTTTTGTTTTTGATGTAAACTCGCGGAGATGAACAGGCCTGGTTAGACCTTTATCTTACTTGAAATAAGAAATTTAAAAAAACACCACCCGTTTTAGATTGGAGCGATTCAGACCTGGTGTCCCAAGCGGTGTTGTTCCTGATCGCCGGCTTCGTGACGGTGTCCACCGAGCTGTCCTTCCTCCTGCACGAACTTGCCGCCAACCCTGAGGTCCAGGAGAAGCTGGTGCAGGAGATCAGAGAGAACGAGGCGCAGAACGAAGGACAGTTCAACTTCGAGTCCATACAGAAGATGACGTACTTGGATATGGTTGTTTGTGGTTAGTTATATTTTGAGCATTAATTTGAGCTATTACACAGTGATGAATAATATTAGATCATTAGTAATCCACAGAGAACTGCTACAGTCTCGTCTTCATCCACAAATCTTTAAAAATACAATATAGGTAATCATCTTGAGCCTTAAAAATAAATTATTCCCTGCTTTTGACCTGCTGCCAAAATAAGACATGAATCGAATTAAGTATCAAAAGCCTATGGTAGCACACCAAGGTTCGGTCCTCAGTAACAACTGAGGACAAAAAAGTCACAAGATAAAAGCAGTTTTTCCCCCACTCTTATGTAGATATGGATGTTTACATATTGCTGTTCTAATCTACCGTTTCAACAACGCGGGTAAAAGTCCTGATTACGTGCACCAAATCATACTTAATGGCATGAACATAAACCGCGTAAACAAATTTAAATACCTAGGACACTTTCTTACCGACGACCTTAAAGACGATGTAGACATCGAAAGGGAGCGTAGGTCACTAGCTGTCCGGGGTAATATGCTGGCCCGCAGATTTGCTCGTTGTACTGCTAACGTTAAAATCACGCTTTTCAAAGCTTATTGTCAAAGTTTTTACACGGGAGGTCTGTGGGTCAACCATACCAAGAAATCTTTAGATGTCCTACGTGTCCAATACAATAACATCTTCAGGATGTTGTTGCGGCTGCCGCGCTACTGTAGCGCATCGGGGATGTTTGCGCAACATCACACCGACGGCTTTCACGCTGTCCTCCGTAAGAAGACAGCATCTCTGATAAGCAGACTGCGTGGCAGCGGCAACAGCATTCTGAAAACGGTGGCTGACAGATACACATCACCTATGTGGAGATGTTGGGTGCGGAGGGTGATTATGTGAGAAGACACTTGTGGCATAGTCACACTCGGCGGCTTTCAAAATGCCTACAATTATTAGAAAACCAAACACTTTACTAACATTACTTTTAAGATTATAAATTGTATCCTACTAACCACTATGAACTGTAAAATTGTTTGAAATAAACGTCATTATTATTATTATTATTATAGCTGCTTTGTCTCCTGATTCCTAAAAATATTTTTTGTGAGTCCACATTTCGATTACATTCGATCAACATGGAAAGCAGGGGGAGGCCTATGTTCAGCAGTAGACGTCCTTTAGCTAAAACGATGATGATGATGAGATGATGATGATGATGACGAGTCCAAATTTATGGTTTTTATTATTTATTTTTTTACTCTTCTTTCTGTTTTTGTTAAATAGCGCTGCAAAAAGGCACCCACTGAAAATCAGTGTCTTGGCAGTCACACTGTCAAGATATTACTGAGTGGGTGACCTTTTTTGGCAAATAAGTAATTTTTTTTTATGTATGTCTTTGTTCCCTGAATATGTTGTTGTCAAAATAAAATTATTTTCTTTCTTTCTTTCACATTTACCGACGTTTCCAGAAACTCTGCGTATGTGGCCCGCTGCAGCGATGATCGACAGGGTGTGCGTGAAGGACTACAACGCTGGGAGACCCAACAAGCACGCCACTGAAGACTTTGTGGTGAGCTCATTACTTGTGCTGCCAGTTGGCAATGGTGGTGGCAAACATTTAAAGTAAACACACAAAAGGCGGAAAGGTTCAGAAAAGAAAGCCATAATTAAATTCATGATAATTAAGTCACTTACTATGGGCCTCATAAGAAGGCTCAAGGTCACCCAAAGGGCGATGGAGCGTGCTATGCTCGGAGTCTCTCTACGTGATCGAATCAGAAATGAGGAGATCCGTAGGAGAACCAGAGTGACTGACATATCCCGCAGAATCGCTAAAATCAAGTGGCAGTGGGCGGGGCACATAGCTCGTAGAGCTGATGGCCGCTGGGGCAGAAAATTTCTTGAGTGGCGACCACAAGCCGGAAGACGTAGCGTGGGCAGGCCTCCCACTAGGTGGACCGACGATCTGGTGAAGGTCGCGGGAGGTGCCTGGATGCGAGCGGCGCAGGATCGGTCTTCGTGGAAATTCTTGAGGGGAGGCCTTTGTCCAGCAGTGGACGTCTTTCGGCTTAAACGATGTAGCCAGAAGACGTAGGGGATGTGGGCAGGCCTAGGCTTCCACTAGGTGAACCGACGATCTGGTGAAGGTCGCGGGAAGAGCCTGGATGCGGGCAGCGCAAGACCGGTCGTTATGGAAATCCTTGGGGGAGGCCTTTGTCCAGCAGTGCATAGACATCATTTGGCTGAACGAACGAAGCCACGATAACTCAATGATGAAAGGTTCCGACTGGCTGACTCGAGATCCAAGGAACGCGGATTCGAACTCCACCATCGCTGGACTATTGTGGTGAACCCATTCGTAGCACAAGCATATTTAGCCTATCTACCATAAAGGGTTAACGGGGCTATAAAATTATTAATCTTCTAAATATATAAAAGGAGAAACTGACTGACTGACTGACATATCAACGCACAGCCTAAACGGCTACACGTAGGCATTTGTAATTTAGAAGGGACATAGCTTAGGTACCGTAGAGGTGCACTAAGAAAGGAATTCCCGAAATTCCCACGGGAACGGGAATTAGCGGGAAAATCCTTTTGTATGAAAACGCTTTAGACGCTTGAAATTTGGCATGCGGGTATCTTAGTAAACTTAAAGCTTAGTTACAACAGGATATTGCAAAATTCCCACGGGAACGGGAGTTAGCGAGAAAGAACATTTGTATGAAAAAATCTAAACCCCGCGTAAGATAGATGAAGGGGGTAAAACGGGATCCACGCGTACGAAGTCGCGGGCGGCCGCTAGTATTCTATAGAACAATAATTACTAGACCAAAGCTGCGCTTTACTTTAGTGATTTTTTTTTTCAGGTAAAAAAGGACGAAGTTCTTACTATCCCAGTGTGGTCTTTCCATCGGGACCCGCAGTACTTCCCAAACCCGGAAAAGTTTGATCCTGAACGCTTCTCAGTGGAAAATCGTCACAAAATCAAACCCTTCACATACATGCCATTTGGAGTCGGCCCTCGAAACTGTATTGGTAAGAGTTATGATTAAAGAATTCATACCCAAGTTGAATGACAGACAAACAACTCAGTATAAATTACTTATCATGAAAATAAAATCTATATTTTGTATCTTTAAAGTGCTGAAGTATAGGCTGATAAAGATAAAGATAGATAAAGATATTTTTATTTATCAGAACATGTGTGTGACAATATTGCAATACTGAAATATATTTTTGGTGTTAGTAGGCTGAGTTGCACCATTTTACTTTAACTTTTAACAAACTTTAAAAATCTTGCAAACTCCATAAAAATGCACAGGGTATAAATATTATTACTGACGGGATTGCTACTAGTCCAGTCAATGAATGCTTTAACGACGGTGTAGAGAGAAATCCATGGAACACAATTTCTGACCTCGGGAATTTATTTAGGAGGACTAGTTAGGAGGTGAACATAGCAAAAGTCCCCGCCCTTAGCCCTTGAGCCGGCGGAGAGAGGGGGGTTTAAAGGTACCACTTTTCGGTTTTTCGCTTAATCCTCGGAAACTATGCGTCCTAGTGACATGGCTACTATGAACCAAAAAAAGCTTAATCAAATTGCTACAGGTGAGATAGCAAAGTTTTTCTATAGCTTGTATATTTTTCGCGGCATCTGCTCTAGAAAGTCTGTAATATTGGAAATTTCATTTCTGTCTTACATGTTCCCATCAGGAGAAAATAGACTAAATAAACATCGAGCAAACATTCTAGACATGCGAAAGCATGTTAAGCCTAGTTTCAGGGAGGGGACTGCACCGTGCGTATATTTAGACGAACCACTTGGAGCCACTTTTGACTCTTCATCACTCAAAAACTACTGTGCATTAACACTTCAAATTTGGCTCATGTGTTGAGACTTGCAAGATATACATCAGCTTCAAATTTCATAAATATACCTCAAACGGTTATTTAGGTATTGACGTTCAAAAATGGCATGGCGGAAAACAAGGTCAAATATTGGAAAAAAATAAATAAATACAAAAATATCAATTAAAAAAAGTAGCTCACTTAGGGTCAAATAAGTGAACTTGTATTCTTAAAATGACCTTACCTATACACCCTCGAAGTTTGTCTAACCTTCCGCCAAACACCCTGTATAATGCACAGGTTATTGTTATAGTTACGGTTAAAGTAAGTTGGTGCAAAAACCTTAGTCAACAACCAACTCACCTGTTTCAAACTTAAAATGTGTTTATTTATTTTTTTGTTACTAGTATAAAGTGCATTTACAACGCCATTTTAACTTCAAGCCTCGTACTCCAGTCCCCAAGAGACAGGTGTAACCTAGTTTGGGGACCACTAGCAACACTAAGTTGTAACCTTGGTTAAATAAAGGATTTATTCATTCAAAAAAAAAAGTAAGACCAAATCATGTTGCTCTGTAATATGTTTTCACACATATTTATGTAAATAATTATCTTTATCTTTGATCGTTATTGGTCATTGAGCTCGAAATACCTACAATTTATCTTCCTCATCCAGGGTCACGGTTCGCCCTGTGCGAGGTCAAGGTCATGGTGTACCAGCTGCTGAAGACCCTGGAAGTATCCTTGTGCAGCAAGAGCTGTGTGCCGGGCCGCCTGGCGGCTGGCAGCCTGGAGATGAAGATGAGTGGCGGATTCTGGCTCAGAATCAAGATGCGCCAACAATAATAAGCTTAAGGATTAAGATAGAAGAGAATAGAACAATAGATATCGTGTGTAATGGTTAGTGGTGTACCATCATCATTTCAGCCAGAGGAGACCCTAAGCCAAGACCGAGAACATGAGCCTCCCCCAATTCCATATTGACCGGTTAGTAGCTGCCTTTATGAAATATCACTTTTGGTCTAAAACAGTTATCTGTCTGCCGCTGTGCAACGGAGTGAAATCCGATATTACAAGAAAGTATATTTCGTGTTACTCTTACGGTCTTCTGCTTTTTGTTGCGAGCTCCGAGACGGTAGTATCTGGGACTACTCAAGTCATTGGACTCCAAACTGTAGATCCTGATTATACAGGAGTTGCAGTGGTGAGAAAGAAAGGTGAATTAGTCCCGGTAACGTATGTATTGGTTAAGACTCGATATTTTTTACAACTCTTATGCCCTTTTTCACCATCAGTCCCTATTTTTTAAGAGACCCCTATAAAAATAAAATTTCTGTTAAGTGTTACCTAAGGGGTCACTTACAAATTAGGGATTGATGGTGAAAACGGCCATAAGTATTCTACTTCAAACACCTCAGATAGATATTCTCCCAATGAAACAAAGCGATATTTAGTTATCAGGTAGTTTAAATTGCGTAAACTTTCCTAAATGTTATCAGGAAGTGATGACCTATACTTTTTGTCTTCTCGTCTCATTAAAAGATAACCGAACATTATTATCTGAAACATTATTTTTGGCTAGTAAAATGTATGTGTGGTTGTAATGATTTAATATGTAAACCCCTTTTTATTGGCGGTATGTTTAACGAACCTATAACATATCGCCCATTAGCGACGACACTGTGACATCTCGACATATACGATTTTTTGTTTTACCGAAATTCTGAACCGCGATCTTGCGTTCTTTTATCTCCAAAAACAGGGTATTTGTTACTCCAAAAACAACAATACTATGAGAGAAAGAGACAAAATATTACGTTATAGCGCTGGCTCGTTCGGCGATCTAGTTGGCTTCGACACTGTGACAGTTCAGTTGCCACCTGCGCTTTGAGATGTGAGATGCTCTTCGTTTTTAAGAAAAAGTGACATCTCGAGGATACCGCAGTGTTGATGACAAAGGTAAGTTTTTAAAATATTTTTATTTTATTCGACAATGTGGCACGTCATACTTATCACAGTGTTCTTCTAAAACAAAAAGCAAAGTAAAAGATAAATTATTTATATGTCACGTTATTCTTGTAAGAAAATCGAAGTATCATCGGGACATCTTAACTAGTAACGTTGTAGATGATGAAAATTTTTCCTATATTGGAAATATGTTGTAGGTCATTTGTTGATGTTCTGTTATTGCAGAATACATGTTATTGAAATTGAATGGTATGTCTACTTGTCACGTTGTATACGCTAAACAGTAATACTAAACTCCAGATATCATTACAGATGGGGACTAGCAATGCAAAAAAGCAAAGGTTAACATTTGTGGCGATACACTGCCTGAAGGAATTCCACAACCTAATCCGACAACATGACTAACAGCGCTATACTAGTTCAAATACTAGAAATACAGTGCAAATAAAACACACTTACACGACTGTCTGTTTTTACAGACACAACAAGCAAAATATTTTATATTATCTTACAATAGCCTTAGATTAGCTTAATCTAAGACGATAGCTAACAAAATTATCTATTAGTAGAAGTATGCTAGAATAGCAATGCGTTGGATGACCCCAGATATATATTTATTTATTATTATGTAATTATTCAATGTTACTTAGCTGTATTTGCTATCTTTTGCTTTCTGCAAAAAAAGGTATTTTAATGTTTTAATATAATTACAGATCATCAGCAATTGATGGAATTTTATCGCATCTTGCCCAAATTTACTTTGGCGGGCGCAACATTGTTTTGTATAATAATATTGCAATAGCTATAACTATTGCAGAAAAACTACGCCAATAAAATGGCTACATTATTTATAAAATAATAGTGGTTGTTATTTTTCACTATTAATACATTATTTAAATATCTTTTGTAAATTTAATTTTAAATAAGTATAAAAAATTAAAAGATCCTAAAAGGTACCAAAATGTCGCTTTTTTGCCATTTTATGCGCCGGAGACGGCGATTTTTGCGTTGATAGTTTTAGGATTAAATTGTCATAACTAGTCTGTTAAAAACATCTATTTACTAACCTAGTAGGTACCTTCAATTTTTTTTCTGCATACGTAGGTACATACTTAGTACAGTTTCTCTTACTGTGTTTTTTGTAGTAGTTTACGAGATTTTACTTTTGAGAGTTTTTCGTTTATTTTGATAAGTATTAGGTTTTAGAATAAGAAAACTTAGTGTGAACTTAAATTTTGTATGTATACAACTGTCTGTCTACTTAGATAATATTTTTATTAGTGAAATTTAACATGGCAAAGCGAAATATTCAACTGTTCCAATAATTACCTCATTTTTACTGATTGTAATGTTAGTAAAATAAAAAAAAAATTTTCAAGATCAACGTTTTAACTAAATAATGACTTATATAAATATATTTTTTTATATCATCTACAACGTGACAACTGAACTTGCCATCTTCAAAATATTATTTTTTACTAGAATAACGTGATAAGTTGTCTCTTTTTTTATCAATCGCTATAATTTCATCAATTTAGACGCAAAGTTATGTCTTACTATAAATATTTAAATTTATTAATAGTTAATCTTTAAACGTTTCATACACAATTAGATAATCCTAACCTTATTTTAAGAGTTATGGTCATTCAAAAGTTTAAAAGTCGATTTCTGTAAAACCACTGTTTTTGATATATCACATTGTCGTCGCAAATGGACGATATTGTTTTGAAGTAAGGAATGCACAATCATAAATAAAGCAATATGAGTTAGAATACCTATTCTGATTTAATGAGCGTACGGAACCACCTACACGACCTATTTAACATTCAAATTACTTCTCATTGCGATTGCATAGATGATAGATAATTGGTACTAATATAGATTCCTCCGCGGCTCTACGTACAAATATAGTTATTCGGTACCCTAAGCACGAAATTAACTCTCGTAATCGTATAGTAATCGTTTTATCTTAAAAGATCGCAGCTGTGCTGTTCTGGTTTTCATACAAAATAATCGATTACCATTACTATAACGGGAACGATATTTATTCGTGCTTAGGGTACCTATTGATGTTATTTTATAGTTATTAATTAGATCTTATTTACAGTAAAGACATTAAGATAAAGGTGTTAAATTCTATCAATGTTGTTAACGTGATATTATTATTGTATGATGGTGGTGGTGGTGATTGTGAGAAATAAACGATATTATTAGTGTGATGCAAGTTATTTGTGTCCATCTCTGACACTAAATCTACATCTCCTTATCATTCAAGACTTAAACAACAAGTTCTGGTTCCAACTAGATTGTAATTATCGACAGCTATATAACCTAAAGAGTATGCTTGCATTACAGCATTCTCACTTATGCCTCGACCACGACCGCTAGCTAAACAAAATGGTGAACGATTTGAAAAACAAAACCGTCGTGATCACCGGGGGGGCCCAGGGCATCGGGCTGGCAACTGCCGACAAGTATCTGGCCAAAGGCGCCAAAGTGTGTATCCTAGTTGACATTGACGCCAAGCATGGGGCCACCGCAGTTAACGACCTCAACGGCAAATACGGAAATAACCGAGCCGAGTTCATCAAGTGCGACGTCACCGCCGACCTTGAAGCAGTTTCAAGCAAAATCTTCAACAAATACAAGACTGTCGACGTCCTCATCAACAATGCTGGGATCCTCAACGAGCACAACCTGAGGAAAACTATTGAAATCAACGTCACAGCGCTGATGGAGTGGTCAGTGAAGTTCTTCGACCACATGAGAAAGGACAACGGTGGGAAGGGAGGCACCATCATCAACTTGGCGTCCATCTACGGCTTCAGAGTCGACCCGTTCCTGCCTATTTACCAGGGGTCCAAGTTTGCAGTGATGGGCTACACGCGCAGTCTTGGCCACAAGTACCGGTGTGAGCGCTACGGCGTGAGAGTGGTGGCCGTGTGTCCAGGGTTCACGGATACCATCTTGACCACCGGCGTGAAGGTGAGGGAAGACCAGATAATGCAAAAGGATTTCGAGAAGATGCTGGAGGCGACCCCTTGGCAGCAGGTGGAGGACGTGGCCAGGGCAGCGGTGGATGTCTACGAAAAGGCTGAAAGTGGAACTGCTTGGCTCATTGAAGGATCCAAACCCATTGTTGAAGTTTGATCGTTTATTTTCTACGGAAAATTCATCTTCGCCTTTCAAGCATTTCCAAATATCTACATAGTTTATGATAACTTAGGTAATTATTTGTTTCAAATCTATAGGTTTAAATTATAAATGGTTAATTAAAATATTGTTCTTTATTTATTTGTTTATAAATCGTTGAAAGCTGATCAGCAAGCAAGATATAGCGTTTTTTTATTGTGGAGTTTAATATCAGCTCAATAGAGCTCATTAACAAAATAATGATAACGAGTGAAAGGTCATAATTTTTCCATTGCAAAAATTATCATTTTACATTACCTGTATCTAGTTACGCAGCCGATTTGGCACAATGATTAAGACTTTACGACTACACCAGAGGCCGCAGATTCGATTCCCGGATGATGCAAGCATTTTAACTAAAAATTAAATAGAGATGCAATCATTTCTTTGTAATGAACATACATTTACTAATCTAGCTGTGTTTTATATCATTATAAATAATGCACCGACTGCTATTTACAAAAAATATTATTTAATTATTTTGTATTAGACACTAAGTAAAATTTCTTTTTTACATCAATTTTCATTTTATGTAGTACTAGCGGCCGCCCGCGACTTCGTGCGCGTGGATCTCGTTTTACCCCCCCTTCATCTATCTTACACGGTTCAGATTTTTTCATACAAATGTTTTTTCCCGCTAACTCCCGTTCCCGTGAGAATTTTGCAATATCCTGTTGTAACTAAGCTTTAAGTTTACTAAGGTACCTGCATGCCAAATTTTAAGAGTCTATCTTACGCGGTTTAGATTTTTTCATACAAATGTTTTTTCCCGCTAACTCCCGTTCCCGTGGGAATTTTGCAATATCCTGTTGTAACTAAGCTTTAAGTTTACTAAGGTACCTGCATGCCAAATTTCAAGAGTCTATCTTACGCGGTTTAGATTTTTTCATACAAATGTTTTTTCCCACTAACTCCCGTTCCCGTGGGAATTTTGCAATATACTGTTGTAACTAAGCTTTAAGTTTACTAAGGCACCTGCATGCCAAATTTCAAGCGTCTAACTTAAGCGGTTTAGATTTTTCGTACAAAAGGATTTTCCCGCTAATTCCCGTTCCCGTGGGAATTCCTAAGTATCCTATAACCTGCCCAGGAGTATGAAGAATAATTGTACCAAGTTTCGTTAAAATCCGTTAAGTAGTTTTTGTTTCTATAAGGAACATACAGACAGACAGACAGACAGACAGACAGACANAATACATGTTATTGAAATTGAATGGTATATCTACTTGTCACGTTGTATACGCTAAACAGTAATACTAAACTCCAGATATCATTACAGATGGGGACTAGCAATGCAAAAAAGCAAAGGTTAACATTTGTGGCGATACACTGCCTGAAGGAATTCCACAACCTAATCCGACAACATGACTAACAGCGCTATACTAGTTCAAATACTAGAAATACAGTGCAAATAAAACACACTTACACGACTGTCTGTTTTTACAGACACAACAAGCAAAATATTTTATATTATCTTACAATAGCCTTAGATTAGCTTAATCTAAGACGATAGCTAACAAAATTATCTATTAGTAGAAGTATGCTAGAATAGCAATGCGTTGGATGACCCCAGATTTTTATTTATTTATTATTATGTAATTATTCAATGTTACTTAGCTGTATTTGCTATCTTTTGCTTTCTGCAAAAAAAGGTATTTTAATGTTTTAATATAATTACAGATCATCAGCAATTGATGGAATTTTATCGCATCTTGCCCAAATTTACTTTGGCGGGCGCAACATTGTTTTGTATAATAATATTGCAATAGCTATAACTANATAAGTAGGTATAGATATCTTCTTAAATCCGTATTCATTAGGGGACAGTTCTTTTCTAATTTAGTGGCCACATCCATAACTGAGTACCTTCTAGTAAAAATAATAAAATAGTTACGACTAAAAGTTCTGAAATGGCTCCGAGAGTTTCTAATAACTCAATTTAGCTACTCACCGTCAATCAAAAGTTGGAATACATTGTCAGTTTATTTTGTTCAACTAATTAGAAGGCATGTTCATTAGTTATCTCAAATGCTAGCTGATTTTGAATTTCAAGGTAAGAAATTATATGAAATCACCATAATATCAAAATCAATAGGTATATTGTTAGTACATGTAGTTAAGACTGTATTATGTATGTACCTATACCATTATTATAGTACAACATTTGTACGCAGTCAAAGATCACGAGTTTAGAATAACATTGATATGAATAACTTTAACTACGAAAGACATTCTGACTAGTTGTCTGTGTGTCACATTTTCACGTCTAAAGATTTAAATCTAAATAAAAGATTAACTTTCTTTAAAAAATACTTTACGGGAACTAATATTTATAATTACTTTCATGGACCTGTTATAGGTCCATGATTACTTTATTGTATACGTTGATTGCATACTTTCTATGCCAGACTGAAATGCTCACGAACGAATCTGCGTCAGAAGCTAGTATTTTCAGAATAGGTACCTACATTTAGAAAATGCAAGATCCAAAACTGAACATGAAATTCAAAGGCGATATGAATTGTCAAATGAACGAGACGTCAGATGGAAAGAAGGTTCAGTGATTGATGAGCCAGATGACCTGCTTCCAGAGACGTCATGCCACTGTCGCAGACGGCTGAGGCTGTAGACACCGTTTTTGTAATAAATGGAAATTCGGCGGCTGCATTTGAGGCATGAAAATTTTACAAATGAATTTTTCTTTACTAATTTCACGTATTAAAAGACTCATGAAATCAGAAAACTTTTAAAAAGGACAATGAAATAAGAGACAAAACTAATTACGTAGTAACCTCAAGTTTGGGTGGTAATTTCTATTCATATTTTTTATAACTTACGATTACATTTTGCCCTCTAGACGCAGGATGAGAGAGACAAGTGAATCAAGGAAATACATTTTTGAATTACTTTGCGACAGCATAAAATATATGCATCTTGATGTACCCACGTATGTAACTTTGTAGTTTACACCTGAATTCACTTGCACCCTTTACCGCACCCAAGTTGCTAAGTCTGAAAGTCGGTGGTCTGCGCGATCATAATGAGAGCATTGTGGCGGCGCGAGGACAGGTGGGGATGTGGCTAAAAGCTTTGCAACATTAGTTCCCATCAACTGCGGTGGAGACTTACCGTCTTCGGGACACACGGGTGTGAGGGACCGACAACATGCGCATCTACCTCATGCGGTCGCCGAGTGATAAATAAATAATCTTATTTATGCGCCACCCAAACAACAAGAAACACAAGAAGTAGAAGAAGAAAAATGGTGTAATTTTATTTGTATGGCCAAAAATTAACCGACAAATTATTACCAAACTTTTGCAGAAGGGATAAAAAGGTGAGGAGATAGATATGTTTTTTAAAGAGCATGGATGGGAATACTAAAGCAAAAAATTTATTTGTACGAGTACGTAGTTATTTTATCACATTATCCATTTCAACCTTTCTTCGAGCTTTTTCCCCCTTTCGTCGCTCGACAAGCACCCTTTCCGTATTCTCTCCCGTTTCGGATCGTAAACCGGCTCGCACAAACTTCTTACACTTTTATTATGCTATGTTTGTGTATGTTCCCACAGGGATTTTTGCCGTAATTTTAAAGTTACACGGCTTACGGCATTAGCGGTGTGATGGCGCAAAGTGCCCGCCATTTTGAGTTCTCGCCTACATAAAGGCACAATAGAACTTTGTTCAGTACATTCATACAGACTTACTTACTTCTTTTCACAGTGACACTGTGTATTTTATATTTTTTAAAGTTTGCATATTATTATCACACATAACTTTAGTATTATAACTAAAATACCTAGTCGTAAAAGGTATTCCACTAACACACATAATCCCAAACTAAATAGAATATTTTTTTCTCAAAATTCTTAATTTGTGTTTTGTCACTTTATTGTGTGTTAACAAAAATAGTAAGTAATGTAGAAATGCATATAATTTAAATAATAGGTAATGTAGAAAAGCACATAATTTAAATACCTATACCTATGTAAGTAAGTTAAAGTTTAAGTAAAACTTTAGTTTGTTTTTCGAGTTGCTTTTTATCTTTAGTGCAGACTGATCTTACCGTATCCGATTCTGTGGTAATAAAAGCTTGCTCCGAGTTGAAGTTTTGAGTCATTTGGTTATGTTGCGGAGATAAGATTGATAAGATCGGAGTAAGGAAGCTTTTACCCGGTGCTTTTACCGCCCAAAGTTTTCAATAAAGAGGCCTACCCACGCTCAGAGTTGTCCCGTTCGATGTTTTGCGGTGTCCTACTGTTTTTGCAGTAGGTAGGTATGCAACACATTTTTTTTATTTAGAATATTATAGTTATAGTCATAAAATATGATAATTAATGTGAGTTTGAGATACATGCCTCTACAATCTCTATGGGCCTATGGGCGACGGTAATCACTTACCATCAGGTGATCCGTCTGCTCGTTTGCCTCCTATCACATAAAAAAAAACAATCACACTACATCGAAATATCTATCGTTCTGGATTTAAAATATGTAAAAGACGCTAGACTCGTTCTATAGCGTCTTTTGATTCCTTGAATCTTTATCTTTGTAGGATGAAAAAGAACGTTATTCTTCAACAACAATAAGCTACTTCAACATAAAAAGTGCCCGTGAACTTGCCTACATTAATGTTGAATAGCTATTTGGGTTTTGTACGAGATCGAGACCATCTTTATTGTAAAAGGTGAGAGACCGTCTGAAATATTGTGCTTTTTGATATTTCTTTGAAAGCTCAACAAGTGAAAAACTTGAGGGCACTTGACCCACTGTTACATTATGTTTTGAGTAAAATTAAAATTATGAATGATAAATCACCACCAAGCATTCTGAAAAACATCAAAATAGATGAACTGAAAAGAAAATCGGACTTAATAAAGAACATTTTTTTTTTTTTCATTTTTTCGTAATATTAGTAGTTATATACATATAACACACAATATTTTATTGTAGATATTTATTTAAAAATAGTCAAAAGCATAACTAAGTTGCCTATAACAACTTTTGAGTTTAAAACTAAAGAACTTACAGGCAATTATTAATGTAGCAATTTTACTTTAGACCTTGTCTTCTTTTTCAATTCAAGTTCAAAATTGGTAATCAATTTAAGATTTTGTTTATTTATATCACCGTGAATAGGTCGCCATCTGCTATCCGGTCTTATTTGTTCCAGGGTTGCCGATTTATTTGTACATTTTTATTCTCTAACACTTAGCCGGATCCAGTGGCCGCCCTTCATGCGAAGGTTGAAGGTCTCCGTGGACAGCCGCGCCGGTATGGCGGTCTTCGCTGCTGGAGACACCTCCAAGTGTTGCAAGAGCTGGTAGAGCATCACCTTCACCTCGCACAGCGCGAACCTTGAACCTGATGATAAATAGGTCAAACTTTTCTTAACTTAGAGGCAAATATTTGTAAACTCTATAGATGCAATAGCACTTCACACAAGATAAGCTTACTCAGATTGACATGCGTTAAAACCCTACTGCCCCGCAGGTCAACGATGTATTAGTATTTGGCCTCACGTAAAAACGCCCAGTAAATCGAAGGCGGAATTATGTTTCAGACTCTATCATTTACTTACCCCTAGAGCTACATATACTACAATACTACAACACTTTAGATCCTGACTACACAGGATTTACTATGGCGGAAAAGAACTGGAGGATAGTTATAGCTGGGGTACTTACCAATACAGTTTCGTGGCCCCAAACCAAAAGGCATATACGCCAATGGGTTGATTTTATGCTTGTTTTCTTCAGAGAACCTTTCAGGGTCAAATTTGTCTGGGTTTGGAAAGTATTGAGGATCGTGGTGGAAAGCCCAAACAGGTATGACGATCGCTTCACCTTTGCGAACCTGTTGATAATAGAGAAAGAATTATGAGGCCATACTCTACCAAAATTAAGGAAAATATTAAGATAAGTGCAAAAGTTTAATGCAAACTTACAATGTAATCCTCTGTGGCTTGGCTATTGGGCTTCCCTAGATTGTAATCTTTGTTGCACACTCTGTCCAAAGCTACACCAGCCGACCAGAACCTCAGAACCTCTGTAAATATTATCAAGTTTGTCTAAATATAGATAGATAAAGTAACCTTGTGGAGTTTCAAAATTGTATGTGAAATATCAAAACACGTACAACTTATGGATGCATTGTAATTTAAAATCAATGAGTGACAAGCATAAAGGATGAGTGTTCATTTTGAAATCATTTTTACAACGTGGACAGCGGCTTTCAGTTAATTCATAACACTCTTAATATTCAAAAAAAGTTGTTAGCATTTAAAGAGACTTGCTTTTTTACAAAGAGTCTTCAATTTTCATCAAGATACTATCCCAAAGAAGCTGACGCTGATAAATATTACCTGAGACAACCATATCCATGTAAGTCATCTCCTGAATGGATTTGTAGTCGAACTTTCCGCCATTTTTGGCATCATTGTGCTTTATCTCCGCCACCAGCTTGCTCTGGACTTCAGGGTTGACAGCCAGCTCGTGAAGGGCAAACGACATGACCGCCGAAATGCCTTCGAAGCCAGCGATGAAGAATAGTACGGCTTGGGCAATCAGGTCGTTGTCAGACCACACTGTGAATGACGGTTATACTAAGGGTGGTCCTTATTCCTACGAAAAAAATTTTTTTTCTTATATTTTGCGGGGCACCACGTAATTTGAATATATACCATATGAAAGTATTTCAGTATTTTTTTTTTTAATTTTTAAAAGACATTTAGGGGTCGCTACCAAGGTTTGAATTTAAGTAAAAACACAAAATCTGTATTTGTTACATTCATTTATTTTTAAAGCCAAAGCCAAATAAAAATATCACAAAATTATTGTTGTTGCTATGAACTAAGATATTATGTACAATGTACAAATTTGAATCAATTATTTTTAAGATATAAGAGTTTACTTGTTAGTATCTCGACGCGTCGGTACCATGGTCGGTACAGAAGAGGGGTTGAGGGGAGAAGGGGACAAGAAGCGATTGTCTATTCTATCTATGCGATGTTCATTTGCACTTAAAATGTGATATAAACACTTAAATAAAACATTTATGAAACCTTGATTTAAGATCTTCAAAGCTTTTGTAAATATTTTGACAGCTGGTAGCGACCTCTAAATCTTAACAAAAAAAAAAAAACAAAAAAGCTAATTTCATATTTAGAGGTATATAATCGAATGAGAAAGTGCCCCGGGGATAATTCAAAAGTCGAAAAATAAGGACCACCCTAATGTACCTATAATATGAGCCAATAATTATCGGTATTTATTTCGTGTCAGTAGTCAGACCTACTATTATTATAGAATAGACAGTCTTCAGAAAAATAAATCAATGACAATTTTTTACCTCTATCAATATTTTTCTTTCCAACAGCGGATTCTTCGACTGTTGCAAAACCTGCCTTAGTATCTTGGGTAACCTTCTCATCGTGTAAAAGTTTTCCTGCAAAATTGTTCATAAAAATCATTGCTAAGTTAACAATTTGAATCAGTCGATTAAGAAACATAAAATATAACTAATCGATCGACAACATCGTATGTAATTATAATGTTTATTTAAATCTGAATTATTATTCTATTTAAAAAATTGTGAATATATGCCAGAGTGGTCGTGGTCGTCACATCCGGTCCGGTGGCAAGTCTCACAATCCGTCGCCATTCCTCACGCACTGCAGCCTTTCTTGTGCACTCGTGGAGTGGACCATTGAGTGCAGTTTTGACCTGGTCAGTCCAGCGCATGGGCGACATGCTTAATCCTACTATGTAGGTATTCCTATGATACTATTTCTATAATTCACCTCACCTTTCTTGGCCTCCATCAGCAAATGGATCATGTCCGGCCTGAATATCTTCTCCGTCTCTCTGTTGCTCATGGTGTTCATCACCAAACTTCTGAAGAAGTCCTTCGACTTTTCGGAGAACAGGGTTAAATTTACGAGCTGAAAAGAGTAGATATTAAGTAGTTATTAATCGGTAACATCAAACAGGTGTTTACGTCAGGAGATATTTAGAGTTTGTCTGTATTTTGTGGTCAAGAGTCAAGAACCCCAAGCGCCAAAGGCAAAAACAAGTTATTTTTAAGTGTAACTAAATTCATCTATCACAAAGCCACCGATCATCCTTGAGAGAGGCTCATGGCTCTCTCCTTTGCGTGGCTCCTATGCGCCTTAAAAAATTGTAATACCTTAGTCACTCAACAAGGTAATTGCTTTAAATTTTTAAAGAGACGTTAATATGAGCTTCATTTACAGATTTCTAAACAGGATAAACAACTAGTAACCACTTACATCGGCCAATTTGGGAAAGTTAGCCATGATCAAGAAGGAAAGCACTTGGCGGAAGTTGAAGACGGAAGCCTCTAGTCCTCTCTTGTAGAATTCACTTCCGAGATTTGCTTGAGAGTTGAGCTTGAGGCCGAACGCGCAAGAAGCGATGACGTCATTTGCGTAGCGGCAGGTAATGTCCTTGCAATCTATGTCAATGTAGTTTTCTGGGAAAAGAGTCGGATTACTTTAATTTGTGCTGTAGAAGTAGTAGTACTTTTTAGTAGTCCAACTAGATATTACCGTACATTAGATGAACTGGTAATTTTGATAGATAGAAAACATTAATAATAGAGACGGCACTGAACATCCAGAACTATGTTAGACCTACTTTCAATCAAAAATAATTACTTGGCGCAAAATAATTAAGATCAAAGACAATTTAAAACCAATGTTGCAAGACTGCTAATTTCTACCTATTCGGGATAATAAAACAAAAATATTAATTTGTCTTGTGACTTTGCTCCAGTAAAAATCCCAAAATAATGTTCCCGTAGAAATTCATACCTTTCGATTCCTGAATCCTGTTCATCAACGCCTCCACCATCTGGTCGCCCGCTTCCATCATGAAGGGCACCATGACGCGCATCTTGGAGCTGGTGAAGGCCGGGCTCAGCGTCGAGCGCATGTCCTTCCATTCTTGACCTTCAAACAAGATTCTTTTATTTTACTTTAATTTATTTATTTTTCTTTATTCAGAAAACCACAGCTCTTTATAATAAAAATACAAACAGGTACTATTTAGTAAAATATTTTTATTTTCTATAGAGTTGTGACCGAATAAAAAAGCTCGACTCATGTATATAGAATTTCCATTTTGATTTAATACATTTTCCAACGCGACGAAATATTAGGTGCAGAGGGTATTGAAATGAAATGACCTAACGATGATGATGATTTTTACCCATCTGGTAAGTATTTTATTCCCTCAAGTAGATAGAGTTTCCTATGGACAGTTTAGTGTTTTTTTGTTAATATAAAGTAACAAAATGATCTTAGTTCTAGCTTCTAGCTTAGATCTAGATTCGTGATTTATTCGAAGAACAGTCAAATGGATTGCCATAAAACTATGATGAAACTATGAAAAACTGAGTTTTAACTAATGGCTAACCAATCAATTGATAATGTCAGACTGTTATGTAGATACCCTCAACAAAACAAAAAAGTTATCTACCAACAATGACAATTAATGACAATATTATGTCCGTTTCATTAGCCTGCTTTTATCGTATAATGCCCTTTATAATGATATTTAGACTTTCGATATCTTAATCTGTATTATCAACAGCTTTACATTCTTTATGTATTACTATTATGACGCATAGTTTGATTGTAACCTCAGATTCGAAATGGAATAATCTTCATTACAAGTAGTTATATGGTACTTCCCCTGCCTTTTAGATGATAATTATAATAGATCAAATGTATTTTGTTTGGTCATTGCTAATCAATCGTCAAGTTTATCAAAAATACTACGGTTTGTATTGTGGAAAGTTTATGCAATTAATACGTGTATTTAGGTACTTACAGTAGATTAAGTTTCAGCCCGAAAGATGTAGAATTAGTTCGATACACACAAAAGTACTGACTTTGGCAATTCCTTCAATTTATCCAGTATACTAATATTAATAGGTACCTTTAAGAGAAAAGAGATTCCTGCCAAACAACGGGTCAGTCTTGTCATTGACAATGGTCCGATGGTCGAGGAAGTACTCGAAGTCTTTCACGGTGATCCTCTTTATCAACTCCAGGTCGCGTATCATCACCATTGGAGACATGAACTCAAATCTGCCTACAAATCTGAAAATATTAATAAAGGTTATCTTATTATCCTGTCTTAGTTACAAAGAGCAATTTTCCTTGCACATTATTATCGTCATCGGCATACAATATCTGTCAACATCTGAGGTGGAATTGTGTAAAGCAATCGTAATCATTTGACAGTTCATAACGTATGATTGTTCTGTCAAACGCTTTGTTTCACTGACTTTATCGTACGTTATGAACTGTCAAATGATTACGATTGCTTTAATACAATTCCACCTCTGTTCACAGAGTTAACGTCAAAAAATGTAATGTTCGGAAATTATTATGAAATGAAAACATTATAGCTGAAATTAAAGTCGCCAAATGTCTATGTACACTTACCTTTCTTCCGGAAAAGCTTTATATAGGTCTTCCAGCCCTTCAGCCATATGACGGAACCTAAAGACCACTTCGGTCATGTTTCCCAGCAGTGGGACAGGGGGGAGCTGCTTGACACCATGTCTGGTGAACCTAGAGTACACCTGCCTGCAGTAGAGCCATACAGCTGCTACTATAGTTGCTGCCCACACGTAGAGTAGCATCCCCTGCCGAAACCAAAAATAATAATGTTGCTACTATTTGTAAGATTTTGACCACAACAACAATCGCAACGGTTTCGCGAGAATGTATTTATTATTTATCTAAATAGCAAAAAAACAGGCTCCCAAATAAAACATTAGGTATCATACATATTGTTAACTCTACAAAAATTCTGTAAAATTGATTTTACTGTTTCATGCAAAAACGCGCTCAATCACCAGCTTCTTTTTCTTCTTCTTTTAATTCTTAAAGAAAATGTAAACTTCAATTGTTTTATCTTTCTTTCTGATTTACTGAATGTTATTCTGAAGTTTTATACGTATTTGATCTTTATTATTATCATTTAAAAGAGCTGTAGGGAACCGTTAGTTATCTCTTGTTTACCCTACTCCATGAGTGGCATCTTACGACAAAACACTCAAAAACATCTTGAGATTTTATCACGTTAGTTTAAGCGTGTAACATTAATCGGAATAATAATATTTAACGTACTGATTAAGACTGAATGATATGAAGAAAAATGAAGGTTTGTAATTTGTTTCAAACGTGACACGCTCGTTACACAGTATTATAAAGTGACGTTTGTATGGAAATGTCCTTTCAAAACGGTGTCCGACAAGCGTGTCACTTTTTATTAGTAACGGGGTTAGTTTAGGGCTAAAATAATTGAATGTAAAATGAAACAAATTAGTTAGATATTCAATAACATTTTCTCAGACTTCACTATATTGAACAGGCCCCCACCTCTCATTAACCTCCGTAGCCGAAAACAAGCACTAATTTAGATGGCCGATGATCGGCAAGAAACGTCATACGTGTAGCTGAGAATGACTTTGCCCATCAATAGGTTTAATAACATAGAAACAGCAAAAAATCCCTTTGAATTTCAAACACTCATTAATATTACCCAATTTTTGACACTTTAAAACCTACTTAGATAATATTATAACATTAATTAGTATTTTTATAAACGGGACTATTCCCACCTCTCGTTCCCACCACTGCAACTCCTGTGTAGCCAGGATCTACAGCTTGACCGCCACAAAAACCCAACCAATGAAGGTCAAGTTTGTCCCGGGGGAAAGTTAAACTGTCATTGGACCCGCAACGAAATTAATCAGAAGAACATAGGAGGAGTTCGAAATTAATCGAGTATTTTTATAGACACTTATTTATTTAAAAAAAAAAACAGGTTTAAAGATAAATATAAAAAATATACAAACCATTTTGTTTTAAATAATGTCACTACACCTCAACATAAACAAGCACTATCGTATACAACAAATTATCGAGTAATATGTTTACGTCGTTCCTTCAAGGCGCTTCACTTTAAATTGCGCCTGAGTCCCAGTGATTCTTTAATAAAGTGTCATTGAATGAATCTTTATAAGCTAAGTGTCACACTCTAGGTTTCCTTGTTTTTATTCTCCCATCCGCACTTCCCGACGCGTGTACCTAGATAAATTTGTACTTTTCATACTACGACAAACACAGTTCATAAGGGAATCTACACTATCTATACTAATATTATAAATGCGAAAGTAACTCTGTCTGTCTGTCTTGCTTTCACGCCTACACCACTGAACCGATTTTGATGAAATTTGTCATAAAGATAGGTTGAGTCCCGGGAAAGGACATAGGATAGTTTTTATCCCGGTTTTTGGACAGAGACGCGCGCGATAAAATTCTACGCGGGCGAAGCCGCGGGCGGAAAGCTAGTAGAATATAATCCCAGCGGCGCGGCCCTTATCATACCTGAACCCAATCGAAAGATTAACAGATTTAGAAGATTGATAACAAACATACATAGTTATGTATTTTTGTTAAACGTATTAAAATGTTTAATTTGACTCTAATAATAATATTTGTAAATAAAGATATAAGTAGCCGTCGCGTCTTATCAAAGTTTTTTTGCCTCGTGTAGGTGATTCAGCCATTTTCAATCTACTGCGTGTATCTTCTCTGGAGCCAACAGGGTCAATTTGCTACAATTGATCGTGGCCGAAAACAATAAAACTAGATTATGTACTCAGTATAGACAATAATAGACATGAAGACCAGCTATCATAACCGTATGAATGAATACCCGTCGTCCAAAATCATATTCCTTTATCTATTCCTTATATGTTTTCGTCTATGATCCCTTTACCTCGTTCTGCAATTCCTTAGATTAATTCATCTATACACCCAAGTAGCAACAGATTATCTTCATAAGGCATTGAAGATATCTTGAAGACTAGTAGCCTAATTCCAGCCGTTGTCTTGGCCAAGACAATAGTCGCACTCAAGAAATCTTGAAGTTATGCCCCAAGACAATGGTAAGCAAAAAAGGGCACAATCCTTTGGAAATCACTGAGACTGAGTTAAGACAACGCTTAAGGCAGACTTAAACCCTAATTAAGAGTGTAGTTTTAAGAATTTCTAAATAAGTACTANCGCGAGAATGACATAAGATATTAGTTCATAAAAAGGGCGCTAGAGGCGAGCGAGTCGTCCAATAACAAAACGCTTCGACGTTTTGTTTCTTTACACGCAGGTTTATGTTCATATTCCAATAAAAAAGTAAAAAAAACTAAAACCCAACTACGACAAAAAACGACGCTAAAAAAGTATAAAACAAGATTTTCAGAATACTGAACTGAACAAACTTGCTAATGTAGTTGCACAGTAATTTTCATGTTTGGAAAGGCGTAGTCACACGTTACATATACCTACCTACCGTAGCACTTTGACAACGTGTGACTACGCCTTTCCAAACATGAAAATTACTGTGCAACTACATTAGCAAGTTTGTTCAGTTCAGTATTCTGAAAATCTTGTTTTATACTTTTTTAGCGTCGTTTTTTGTCGTAGTTGGGTTTTAGTAAATCATATTTTGAGTTTACTTATAATAGCATAATTTAGTTTGCGGGCGACCGCACGCATTTTGAATAAAAAATTAATACAATAAGCTGCGCACGCAGGTGCTCGTGCATTACCTTGAATTAATAGGCGTGATCCTGTTTTATCGAAATCGTCCCGTTAAGTGTATTTTTTCTCAAAACGTACTAATTCTAGTAAAAAAGTAATTAACTTAATCTTCAGAAAACTATTTCTAAGACAATGGTCTTTAAAAAGTCCTAAGTAAATCCACGAATACTTTTTTTACTTTGCAACACTTAAATAATACTTTATCTATACTATTTAGTATTAAGTGAGCATACAAAAAATCTTAATTTAGTAAAATAAGATTTTTTTTACTTAAGCTTAGAATAACTTAAGATCAAATTATCTAAAGAATACTTAACTTGGTTTTGGGTATTCTTAATTTGCTTAAGTAGCGCTCGATGAAGAATATAAAGTCTTAAAGAAAAAAATCTCTATTCTAAGTTAATTTGGTTTTAGCTCAAGTGTAAATTTAGATAGAGTTAAGACAAGTAAGATTTTGCCATTAATACCAATTGCTACTTGGGCATTTTTCTCTTATTCTGCAAAGATTTCAGCCGCTTATCTGACAATAACCATCTTCTAGTAACCTGCCTACCTTTTGATTCAGAATAGTTTACGTTACAAAATTGGACCATTAAGTTACAGTCGCCAAGACAGTGATTCATGCTGTAATTTGCTAATTAATTTATCTTAAACCACGAACTTACTGTCACATTATGTAACTAAATTATTCCCAATATTCAAGTCCCCAAGATAGTTCTGAAACAAACAACAAGGATCCAAACTCCCAAGTCTTGGCCTTTATGAAATACTACCTATTTACCAACTTGTACATAGACGAGGTAATTGGAGCGATCCGGGCCTTGAACTCTACTTGTGGTAATTTATCTTTATTTTAGGACTTAAAAAAATATTAATGAAAGATGGAATTCATGAAAGAAGAATCAAATTCGTTTCACAAATACAGTTTGAAATATTTTAAAATCTTGTGCAATAAACGCTATACAGAATATCAAAAAATGTGTAATCAAAAAAAGCAAAAAATATTATTTCAAATATGTAAAAGTTCAAGTATTTGTATGAGTTAAGAACGGCACTTTAATTTAAATTTGCACTTGTTTAAAGCTTATTTAGGGTTCAGGCACTTTTTAAGTTAAGTAAAAGTGCTTTTTAAAAGCCTACTTGCAAAAATAAGATGAGTATTTTTTAAGTGACATTTACAGACTTGGCAGTCCTCTAGTGCTAAATATACATATATTTTCGGCTCTCCTTATGCTTGTAATATTGTGAAATAATGTAGTAAGTATTAATATCAACAAGCTAAGACACATGTCAACATAATATTATACCGGTTTGTAGTATTTCGCGGCGCAAGCACAGTAGGTGCGCGACCGCTAGAGTCGTCGGTCGTGTTACGAAAAATTGGTTTTATCAATTTATCGAATATTGTGTCACGATCTATCGTGTGTGTGGGTGAGCATTAATATGTTTGTTCACAACATTGATCAATGTATTGTCGGATTTATTCAAATGTTTCATGTGGTTTAGGCTTGTATTTGGATTGCTAATTATTCTAGAATCGTCCTAAATCAATAATGTAGATACACAATGTCCCACGGCCTTGTGGGCGTAGGCAAACAGGCATTTGTATCTGAAAAGCGTTATTTATTGGTGAAAAACGGTGTTTTGAAATGATGCTACAAAAAACTCCAAAACAAGTCATACAATTTCGATACAATAATCATTAGTTGAAAGAAGGTTATTTGCGATTATCAGGGGGAAATTGATACAGAAACAATAATATCAGGAAAGTAAGGTGGAAATGGGCATTATTTTATTAGCCGATTTATCCTTTTCCACCTTCTTAAGTTTTAATAAACAGGATGTTTTTGAAATGATGTAATAGCCTATTTATTTGTTACAAGAGGAAAAGAGTACTTCAATTTGATTGTATAGTAGCGTGTACAAAGAGGGCCTATGACAAGATGAAAGAAAACCGTTTATCTTGCTACGGACAGGAACGAGAGGGGTCATTGTTGGGATCAATACACGAGGCAAAATGTAGTACTATGAAAGAAGTAAACGAAAAAATAGGAAACAATCACTGAATTCAACTCGTACGACTAAAAAACATCATCATCATGTCATGAACAAGGCGTTAGTACTTTCATATAAAATAATCTGAGCAAACTAGCTCTAGTTTAGATTATAGCCACGTAAATTAACGCTTTCTGTCTCCATCAATCTGCTAATCAGTTCAAAGTGACATACCCTAGCCAATTACGGGGACAAACTAATCTCAAGTCGGGAACTAGGAACTTACCAACTGACTGTACTGCGGTCATATTATACCTACGACTAGACGTGATATAACTTCAGGAAGTAAGCTTATGAACATGAACTGGAAAAAAGATAAATGTTAAAGTTTTTATTTAGATTATCTCGTATTTTTATTCAATTGTAAATCAATTTATTTGTATTTAATTTCCCAGAACATGCTTCTCTACATCTGGATAGCTGTAATAATAGCAGCCGTATGGCTGTACTGCAGACATGTATTCTCGAAGTTCACTAAAAGTGGCGTCAAGCACTTCAAGCCGATCCCCTTGTTCGGCAACATGGCGAAACTGCTGTTCAGATACGAACATTTCGCTGATGCTGTCACAGATCTGTACCAGGCTTTTCCTGAAGAACGGTAAGTAAAAGTTTTCTTGCTCAAAAAGGGAAAAAAAACAGATGGCCATAATTTGTTCCTAGTAAATAAAAGATATGTTTTGTTACAGATTTGTAGGAAGGTACGAATTCATGAACCCCGCGGTGATGATCCGAGACATCGAGCTTCTGAAAAAGGTCACGGTCAAAGACTTCGAATATTTTCTCGACCACCGCTCTCTTGTCAATGAGAAGACAGATCCTTTCTTTGGAAGAAATCTTTTTTCACTGAAAGGTAAATTAACTAATTATACAAATACTAATCACAATTAGCAATATCAATACAATGGTATAATTAACTTATTTCAAAATTGGAATTCATTTCAAGGTCAAGAATGGAAGGACATGCGCTCTACCCTCAGTCCAGCATTCACCAGCTCAAAGATGCGTCTTATGGTGCCCTTCATGGTAGAAGTAGGAGACCAGATGATAGACTCCCTGCAGAAAAAAATTGAGGAAACCAAAGGTTAGCTAATTATTTAATTAGTAAAATGGATAGAAAAATTTATTATTATAATTGGTTTACTGAAGTCAAAAAATGTTCTGCAGAAGGTTATATCGACATCGACTGCAAGGACTTGACGACTCGCTACGCCAATGACGTCATCGCTTCGTGTGCCTTTGGCTTGAAAGTGAATTCGATGAAAGATGAGAACAACGAGTTCTACACCATGGGAAAAGTGGCTGCCAACTTTAGCATTATTCAAATCTTCTTACTCTTCATTATGATCAGCGTGCCCAAAGTGTCTGAAGTGAGTTACACAATTCATACACTCACTAAGTAATAAAATGAATTTCTCGAAAACAGAAGAACTCGAAACGAATTAACCTGATAATCTGATTTTTTATCAAAGTTTTTCTGATAAGCAGGTAGTTGTTATAATTTATCAAAATTCTTCGTTTCAGAAACTGAAATTAAAATTGTTTTCGGAAAAAACTGGAAGTTTCTTCAAGAATTTGGTATTAGGTACCATGCTGGACCGCCAGCAGCGTAACATCATCAGACCTGACATGATACACCTTTTGATGGAAGCTAAGAAAGGTACATAATGACCTACTATGAATGAAAAACAATGTAGCATATAATTTTAACTTGAAATCGTTCCAATAAAACCGACCGTGATAGCATAGTGATGATAATATTGGATAATAAATTCCAGGAAAACTTGTGCACGATGAAAAGGCGCAAGACGCTGATGCAGGATTTGCGACTGTTGAAGAATCTTCCATTGGAAAGAAAACGATCAATAAAAGTAAGATGCTTATATCTATAAAATACTTTCCAAGTAATCATATTTCTTTGTTAATTCATTTTCTTGAATCATTCACTGTTCTTTTAAATTGTAGCATGGACTGATGAAGACCTGATCGCCCAAGCCATCCTATTCTTCGTGGCTGGTTTTGAAACGGTTTCTTCGGCCATGTCGTTCGCCCTGCACGAATTGGCTGTCAACCCTGACGTGCAGGACAAACTGGTTGAAGAGATCAGGGAGAATGACGCAAGGAACAATGGCAAATTCGACTATAACTCCATTCAAAATATGCCGTATATGGACATGGTGGTGTCAGGTAAGGTGGTAAAATAACTTCATCTAGAAATACATATATTTTTCATACAAATAGGTATTGGATTTCAATAATTCTTATTTCAGAGGTGCTGCGTCTTTGGCCGCCAGCCATTGCTACAGACAGAATGTGCATCAAGGATTATAATCTCGGAAAACCCAATAGCAAAGCTACCGAAGATTATTACGTGAGTTTTGTTTTAGATAGTATTGCTGTTCTTGTCTTAGTTCCAAAGATCATACATAAAATGACTCTCCCTCTTTTTAACCGACTTCATTTGCCATTATGGTCTTATACAAATAATGTAGTAAAAAAAAGAAGATTTTCCATCCAACATCACTTTTACGTTTCTAGATTCGCAAAGGTGAAGCCTTCGCCATCCCGATATGGGCTTTCCACCGGGACCCTGAGTTCTTCCCGAACCCCAACAAGTTTGATCCTGAACGTTTCTCTGAAGAAAACAAGCACAAAATCCAACCATTCACGTACATGCCTTTTGGACTTGGACCTAGAAATTGCATTGGTAAGTTACGGAAATATTTAGGATTCCGGGTGAATCTTGCTTCCATCTTCGGCCTGATCATACTTTCTTTGTCAAAAACTTCTCCGTTGTTGATAAAATAAAATTATCAACACTCGAATCTTCAAGTAACATTACCTACCTAATAAGTAGAAATTGATTGTCATTGTTTATTATTGTCATTTTATCTAGATGCACAACTTCAACAACGCCATAAAGATACTACGATATTATCTTGCGATAATGTTTTGATTGTTAATATTAAAACACTAAGGCTGGGTTGCACCATCTTACTTTAACTGTAACAAACGTCAAAAATCTGTCAAACTCCATACAAAAATCATAGTTACCGTCAAAATTAGGTGGTGCAACCAACCCTAAGGGTGGTTGCACCACCCATCTTTAACCGTACAAAACAGTAAAAACTAGAGTACATTCGATTTTCTCGGGTATATTATAACCATCATTATATTCTTTGTCCAGGTTCAAGATTCGCGCTGTGCGAGGTGAAGGTGATGCTGTACCAGCTGCTCCTCCACGTGGAGTTGTCTCCAGCAGCCAAGACCTGCATTCCTGCCGAGTTGGCCAGAGACACCTTCAACCTTCGCCTGAAGGGAGGACACTGGATACGAATGAAGACCAGAAAATCTAACTAATTCTAATTATCACTTACGATGAAAAGAGGATATATTATTTTAAGTCCAGGTGTTATCTTTTATAAATTACTTTTTATAGAATTTATTTTTATACTATAATAATTTTTAGTCTGTGATATAAGACCAAAATAATATTTTTCATGGCTAATTTCATGTTATTTCTATGACAATTCACAAAACGTACAAAAAAATGTTTATAAAGTTTGCGGCACTAATTAAGTTTGTTATTTATTATGTATAAAAATTAAAAGATAAGATTGCGTTACGTGCTAAGAAATCAACTTGATTTGCTTTAAAAGTAGCAAGCAAATCAATTTTTACAGTGATTGACGGCCAAAAGTTAAATGACCAAAGAGAGGCTGTTATGAGTATAAGATTTTATAACTTTTTGGAACAACCTGAAAAATTTATGAAATTATCTTACACCCGATTGTTTTATTTTGTCCCTTGGTGTATGTGTGTGATGATGGTGCAGTGCTGTTGTCTGCCCTGTAGGCCTAAGATGCGCGCCGTGATAACTTTTATCGACGTCAAAATGTATGGACAAAATCGATAAAATAGCGTGATAACCGCTTGTCGCAGCGCACATCTTAGGCCTACAGGTTGGCCCAACCAGAGGGGACAACATGACTGCACCGTGATGGGTGATAGATCCAAAACTCAATTGACAGCCATCCGCCCCAGTTGTTTGCGAACGACTTCGGTCGCAGGTTCAATCCATTTTATTCTATATAGTTAGCCAATTTTGGCAAACGGCGAGGTATACACGGCCACACTGTTAACTATCCATCTCCGTTTTTGCTCTCGCTCTCATCAAATGGCGATTCTTTGCGATAGAACAAGACGACATGACAGGCAATGGATAGTTATCACTGTTGCCGATGGTACATACGTTATACAAAAACAGACGTTGAACTGATTTGTGTGCCAATAATTATAACCTTAATTTAATTGCACTTGCCAGTTTCATTTATGTATCATAAAACTCATTTATTTTTGCAAATAGCTTTTAAAAAGCGCTTTTACATAAAACCAGGTTTTTTTATTCGATCTTATTTTTTTATCTGATTTTTTACATAAAATCAAGAACGATCATACATAGTGTACCAAAATCCAGTTGTTTAATTCCTAATATCAGTTTTATCATAGAATAGTAATTGTGCCCGCGACTTCGTACGCGTGAAAACCCGTTTTCGCAACATTTTTCATTATTGCTCTACTCCTATTGATCGTAGCGTGATGTTGTACAGCCTATAGCCTTCCGCGATAAATGGGCTATCTAACACTGAAATAATTATTCAAATCGGACCAGTAGTTCCGGAGATTAGCGCGTTCAAGTAAACAAACAAGTAAACTTTTCAGCTTTTTAATATTATTAGTATACTAGCGGCCGCCCGCGACTTCGTACGCGTGGATCCCGTTTTACCCCCTTCATCTATCTTACGCGGTTTAGATTTTTCATACAATTTTTCTTCCCGCTAACTCCCGTTCCCGTGGAAATTTTACAATATCCTGTTGTAACTAAGCTTCAAGTTTACTAAGGTACCTACATGCCAAATTTAAAGCGTCTATATTACGCGGTTTAGATTTTTTCATACAAATGTTTTTTCCCGCTAACTCCCGTTCCCGTGGGAATTTTGCAATATCCTGTTGTAACTAAGCTTTAAGTTTACTAAGTTACCTGCATGCCAAATTTGAAGCGTCTATCTTACGTGGTTTAGATTTTTTCATACATATGTTTTTTTTTCGCTAACTCCCGTTGCCGTGGGAATTTTTCAATATCCTGTTGTAACTAAGCTTTTAGTTTACTAAGGTACCTACATGTCAAATTTCAAGCGTCTAACTTAAGCGGTTTAGATTTTTCATACAAAAGGATTTTCCCGCTAATTCCCATTCCCGTGGGAATTCTTAAGTATCCTATAACCTGCCCAGGAGTATGAAGAATAATTGTACCAAGTTTCGTTAAAATCCGTCGAGTAGTTTTTGTTTCTATAAGGAACATACAGACAGACAGACAGACAGACAGACAGACAGACAGACAGACAGACAAAAATTTTACTGATTGCATTTTTGGCATCAGTATCGATCACTAATCACCCCCTGATAGTTATTTTCAAAATATATTTCATGTACAGAATTGACCTCTCTACAGATTTATTATAAGTATAGATTAGTATAGATCTCTATTACCTACGCAAATGAAGATAAGCACTTTTATAGTTACAATAATTAGGTCCTAAATAAATTACAATATGATTTTAGATAAAAGTATTTTTTTTTACTATCACAATCCCAATCTATAAAATTTAAGAAGATCTCGAAATATGATTATTTTTTTCCCACGTGTAAACAAACATAATTAATTGTACGTGACGCAGGTAAAGATTATTAGTAATTAAAGATAAATGAAAATTTCAAAAGATTAGTGTTTGAGATTAAATTGTGGTTTTCTGATAGCAACTAGATATTCATAGGTTTTGTTATGTCTAACTTTCACTTTGAAAAAGGTTAAACACCCCTGAACGATTCTTGAAAATTTTACATTCCGGAATGTTAATTTGAACGTTGATGATCCAGTCGAATAAAAAAATCTTAACTATTTCAGAAAATTTGTGGCCATTGTGCAATCGATTTATTGTAGGAACAAAAATCATCGCAATTTAGAAAGCGATGAAAATCACTCACTTCTCATGTCAAGATAATATTAAAGAAGTACAAAAATACAAATAAAAAGTTGATTTTTCTATTATATACCACATAAAGACGGGGAGACTTATGCCATATCTGATGGATGTTGCACCAATCGATCGGTTTCACAACGGCCAGAAATGTTAGGAAATAAAGAAAATATTAAATGTTGTTGGATGATTTTAATTAAATAATTATTAATTTCTTTCCCAGACTGAATAGCATTTATAGACCAAGTAGCTTATTAAATTCAGACAAAAAGATAAATGATGCAAGCAAGCAATGCAAAATATGTTGCTACATTTCACAGAAAAATTGGCATAATATAGGTAAATTGAAACTAAAACCATTTATAAAATAACAAAACTTTCTTGATCTTAAAAAGCTCACGTCTCATTATTTTTTCAGCAGAGAACTTCAAAATAAGCATTTGTGGCTGAGAAGGGCTACAAAAATCCACCCCATATAATTATCATCACTGGTAGCCGTAAGTTCAAAAGTTACAACATAATTATCCTTATTACTAATTATTGCCTTACTTACACGAGTAGATATGACTACCAGTCCTCCGTGAACATTTATCCTTATCTTCTGAGCCTCATAAAGGCGCAAGCGCATAATAAAGCCAACCGTTGACACAAGCGGTTGTCCAACCAGTTTGTTGGTAATCTTACACTGTGTGTGTATGTGTGTGTACATCAGAGGACAACTAATACTGTGTGAGTGCCATTAACTATCTGTTTGTAAACATTGGCTTTTTTGCGGTTGTTGTTGTAGTTTTTTGCACGGAATTGGAGTCGGGAGATAATTTGGATAACTTAATGACACTCTATTTTTATTTATAGTTAAGTATTCTGTTATTATTTATCTTGTGTTCATTTAAAATGGTTTTTTTCTTTGATTTCAATCGTTAGATAATTAATGCTATTTAAAATCTTATTTATTTTTTAAACTCATAAGGATATTAAAATCTATATTTTGAAACTTCTGTACTTGATTTCTGGAAAGTTTAAAATTATAAGGTAAACTTTCACTCTTTGGTTTTTATTTTGGTAGAATACGATGAACATTGGGTTAATATTTTAAGGTGACGCAAAAGTGTCTAAAATTGAGAGAGTATTCTAAATTGGATTTATTTTATCCAAAGTGAATTCAACTGGAAGCAGTCTAATTGAAAGTCTCCGTTTTTTTCTTGTCTTTTTGGCTTAACTTAATTAATACTGTGTTATTGCTTCACAAAAGCTTTCTTTTTACAAGTCCTAGTGGATTAGTATTAACGGACAAGAAATCCTGCCATGTTACACCTGACTCTTTTTCTAACTCTATCTGTTGCTTAACTGCTCTCTAACGGTATGTGGTCACTAGGGGAAGATTCGTGCCAACTGCCAACCCCTCAGGATAGTACAGCCATTATAATATAATGATTGAATGATGAATTTATTATAATTGCTGTGTTTATACTCTTGACACGTTCTACACTATGGATGATAGTTCTCGTTACATAAACCAGAGAGACCTTGAAAGAGACAAGCAGTAAACAATTATTTTAATAATGATGATCTACTTTATTAAAAGTTATGTTTTTCAAGCAAAAAAAAATTTTCAACTACGNCATTTTTCTTAAAGTGAACGGTTTTTGAGATATCAGCTCTCAAAGTCGTAAAAAGTATGTCCCCCCCCCTCTATTTTTATAACTACGGGGTATAAAATTCTAAAAAAAATAGAGGTGATGCATGCTAATTAACTCTTTCAACGATTTTTGGTTTGATCAAAGTATCTCTTATAGTTTTTGAGATAGGTTGATTAAATTGACATAATAAGTTTATTATATTTGCTGCTACGGAACCCTTTGTGCGCGAGCCCGACTCGCACTTGGCCGGTTTTTCATTTTACTACAATATTACTCATATGAAAATGTACCTAAATCGGAACTTATATATATTCAAAGTTGTAATATAAAACGAAATACGGATATCACCTCATATCCGTAAAAAATAATACAATTTATTATGCAACCCAAATAATTAATTTTAATTTTTTTTATTCAATCATTGTCGTTTGTGTGTCTCTACTATAGGAGCACGACCCTTTCTAATAAATTAACTTTGCCAGAAAGGCAGGAATTGTCCTACACTCACATAAACTAAAAAAAAAAAACAGTACTAAGTATAATATTATAAAAAGGATCGATAAATTCAAAGGCATGTAGGCTTTCTGGGTTGCGGACTGGATTTGATGAGAAGATTATTAAATCACAAATATTTCCAGAGTATGCTGGTCTTCATCTGGCTAGGAGTGGTGCTAGCGGCAGTATGGATGTTTTTCCGGCGCCGCTACAGCCGCTTCTCCCGATTCGGCGTGAACTGCCCCAAGCCGGTCCCACTGCTGGGCAACATGACGCGCATCCTCTTCCGCGTGGAGCACTTCACCGACCACCTCGACAGGCTCTACCATGACTATCCGGAGGACAGGTGAGCTCATCGAAGCTTTATTTTATCATTCTAGATATTTGTTTTATCATCATAATCAACAGCCTTTTACAGTCCACTGCTGGACTATGAGCCTCCTCCAATTTAGTGGAGTTTTATTTATTTATGTCAGACGAAAAGTCTGTCACACTAATTAAATATAATATAATAAGAGTACCAGCTACTTAATGCATTATTATGACAGATATTTTCCTTTTAAAGGCACGTTTTCGTATATTAATAATTGTCTCAATATAAAGTTTGACTGGAAGAGAATGCCATAAGGTTGTGCAATAATAAAGTTTTAAATAAATAAAAGTAATCCAAAGCAATTAATAGTATTATCTGTCTACTTAAATCTATCTATTCAATCTACGAGTATAATTTATTTCGTTTCATATCTTTCCCCAAATCTCGATGTTTTTAAAAATATATCGCTAGTAAAAGATAGAAATGTAAATTACCTAAAATAATGTATTCCTACCTACATTGATGATAGTAGTAAATATTTTTAATTAATCAATTTTAACGCCTGCTACAGGTTTGTAGGCAGATACGAGTTCCTGAACCCCATGGTGGTGCTGAAGGACATTGAGCTGGTGAAGAAGATCACAGTCAAGGACTTCGAGCACTTCATCGACCACAGGTCGTTCGTCAATGAGAAAACCGACCCCCTCTTTGGAAGAAACCTGTTTTCTTTGAGAGGTATATTCGTTCGTTTCAGCCAAATGACATCCACAGCTGGACAAAGGCCTCCCCCAAGGATTTCTACAAAGACCGGTCCTGCGCCGCTGTGAAGGTTGTGGGATGTGCCTAGATGCGGATCAGATCGTATGTCCACATAGTGGGGGGCTTGCCCACATAAAGCAACAAAATTGAACAAAGGTTGAGAGGTATAAAAAATAATATTAACTTTTATTCTTAGTGTCAGAATTTAATCTGTTTATCCAAAAAGAGTTTGCGACAAAGATCGCAAAACATCCTTTTCAACCTCGGGTGGACAAAGACCTCTTCCGAGGATTGCCACAACGACGAGTCCTACGTTAAATAAATACATCCAAACAAAACTAAAACCAATTCTGACGTTATTTTTCTGAGCAAAAAATATACAATGACCAAAGATAACGAGGACTAAGATTTTCAAATGCCAACTTGTAAACAATTTTTATTAAAATAACTAAGCTTTTTACCTTTATTGAAATCTATCCTTTTTCAAGGTCAAGAATGGAAAGACATGCGTTCAACCTTGAGCCCGGCGTTCACCAGCTCCAAGATGCGTCTCATGGTGCCCTTCATGGTGGAGGTGGGAGACCAGATGATCGAGTCCCTGAAGAAGAAGGTCAAAGCTTCCAAAGGTAACCCAACTCATTTAGGCTATTATTTTACTAATATGACTGGAAAGAAGTTTCTAATACCGAAAAAATACGTAGAAGATCTAATTCTTTTCAATATCTTTTAAATAATTATCATGAATTTATAGACTAATACCTACTACTTTGCCTGCATAGAGAGTCGAACCAAGAAAGAACCTCCGGATCTGCTGCCAGACTACAAAGAAGATCAACTTATATTTAAATAGTATTAGTAAACTCATTATAAGCTAAATAATTACGTTTGGTTGGGTTCAAAATTTGAACCTTTTGAACTTCAAATAGTTTAATCTCACTTTTTATGCATTTGACCGCAATCGCACCTGGTGTTAAATTAGATGCAGTCTATATGTATAGCTGCCCCGTAAATGCCTATTCATTCTTGCCTTGAAAATGCCTAAATATTGTTCAGGAAAGACAGCAGCAGGCAGTGAATTCCAGTCCCTAGCTGTTCGCATTATGACAGAGTTCTCGAAACGCATAATCTCAATGCTCAATCTTGCGGTCGAATTGTCTAGACGACTTCATCGACGTGGAAGTGAAGGACCTGACGACGCGCTACGCCAACGACGTGATCGCGTCGTGCGCCTTCGGCCTGAAGGTGGACTCGCACGCGCAGCAGGACAACGAGTTCTACGCGATGGGCAAGGAGGCCTCCACCTTCAACTTCCTGCAGGTGCTCAAGTTCTTCGCGATGACCAACTTCCCGGCTGTCGTTGATGTGAGTTTTATTAATATCTTCTTACTGCGCCAGAAATACGGGTTATTTTATAAGTGGAATGACTCATAGCTCATAGTTGACTTACTTGACTTAAGGTCCATGTCCCCTAGATGGGGCAGGGAGCGTCCACAACAGTCCTCCATCGCGTTCGGTCTTGAGCTTCGCGCTTGATCTCGCTCCAGGTCTTACCGATTTTCTTCGCCTCGTCTGTTATGCTCTGCGAATGAGTCATACATTTTCCAGAAAAAAATCAAAATTAAACGTAACAAGATTTTGGAAAATGTCGCATGGTACTTTTTCAAACTTGGGGGTTAAGCCACTGTAAATGGAGTCCTAGGATTATCATAATTTTAACCACGACGTCCACTGCTAGACGGAAACTTCTCCCTCCTATATCATTTTAACTATGATAACTTAAACATACATGAATATTACCCTGCGTTCTTAGCAATAATCTAATATTCTGTATGCCTTCTAAATCACCTTTATTAGTATTCAATAGGTACATTTACTCAAGAAGCTAATCAATGTTCATCGAGTAGGGTGACAACCACAGAATACGTACAGAACAACAATTACTTACAACGCTTGTTGAAGGTCGATAAATAACTGATTCACGGTCAAGGAAGACGAGGGTCACGCGCACGCGCCGGCCGGCGACTTGTATGCGTCGCGTCATCTTTTTAAAATGGCGCAGTTACACTTTGCGCGAAATTGATTGAAAGAAGCATGGAAGTATGGGCGGCGCAATGTACTGAACTGCGAGTTTACTCTATCTGATTCGATCAATTAACATAGTGTAACTGCGCCATAACAATAACATTAACACACTTATTGACACTACTACACAAAAGCAACTGAACTTGTCAGGCGGCAAGCTCAGTGGTGTCGGATTACAAAGTCACTGCGGTTGCTGGATCTAATACCACCAGGATATATCTTAGTGTAAATTTTAACCTAATGGCCACAAAAGTCTGCGTTCAAATTTTGTTTTGGCAAAAAATAAACAAGTTTTGTAACATCCATTCACTTTTTGTGTCAGCAATTAATTAAAGTTGAGTTAATAAGGACTAAACATTTTTTCAGTTTTTACTGTACCCGGATGTATTTCTGTTGGTCCCTCATGAACAAACAGATAGGGTTATCTATCCTGTTAAGTTTGATTAAATTTTATGAATTGAACTTGAAATCATTGGGAGAATGAAGGTCAAAACGATTTAACTAGAGTTACGATAAAAAGCAATCCTGTGGTTATCTTTGTCATTGTAGTGCCGGTTTGAATACGCATAATTATTTGATAACCAGCATCAATATCAGATAATGAATAACCAGGATACGAACAATTTTTAACTTCAATGCCATTTAAAAGTGTATTAGTGTCATTAATTTCAGAATGAAATAAGGATCCCAAAACGTATCCATGTAGATAACTCTTGTTATGTCTCATTTTGCTTGTAATCTTATTAGTAGTAGAAAATGAAAGCTCCCTGGAAGCTGGATTTATACTTCTAACAAAATTATTCTTAATAATTTAACATAGGCAAGCATTGGCCGACGACCTGATAAAGGTAGCAGGAAGGCGCTGAATGCCAGAATGGGAAGCCTATGTTCAGCAGTGGACGTCATATGGCTGAAATGATGATGATTTTAACATGTTTACGAAAACCTTGACAAATCACTCTATCTATTAGTGAAAACTGCATGAAAATCCGTTCTACTTTTTGAGTTTATCGCAAACAGACAGATGCGGCGGAGGATTTTGTTTTATAATGCGAGTATTGGGACTATTCCCACCTCTCGCTCCCACCACTGCAACTCCTGTGTAGCCAGGATCTACAGCTTGACCGCCACAAAAACCCAACCAATGAAGGTCAAGTTTGTCCCGGGGGGAAAGTTAAACTGTCATTGGACCCGCAACGAAATTAATCAGAAGAACATAGGAGGAGTTCGAAATTAAGGTGTTTTATAATGCGAGTAGTGATTTCACAGAACGTTCCAAGATGACAATATTGTAACTAAAGTAGCAAACAATGTTTTCAGAAACTCGGCATCACCTTGTTCACGGAGCCCACCAAGAAGTTCTTCAAGGGACTCGTGCTGGGCACCATGAGCGACCGCGACGCGCGCCACATCGTCCGCCCCGACATGATCCATCTGCTCATGGAGGCCAAGAAAGGTACGGGCCTATTCCCACCTCTCGTTCCCACCGCTGCAACCATCCTACCTAAGTCTGTCGCCATAACAACAATATTAACAGCATTGTTGTGTTCCGGCAGTTAGAGGTAAGATAGCCAGTTCTTCCGTGGTTGAGGATTCTGGGTGAAGCTCGCTCGCTTTGGCCTGATCATCACTTACCATCAGGTGAGATACAGTTGTGGATAAAAAAAAATCTCCTGTGTAGCCAGGATCAAGTTTGTCCCGGGGAAAAGTTAACTGTCATTGGACCCGCAACGAAATTAATCAGAAGAATATAGGAGGAGTTCGAAGTTAAGGTCCGACTTCTCTCCATTGCAAAGCGGATGACAGGTGACAAACAAAGATTTAGTAACCTAGAAAGGTACGTCTTCGTTTTCTTCTTCTCAGTCGTTTCGCTCTTGTGGTCGAGTTAAGGCGTCCATGTGTCCATTGTAGAGGCGGATACAGCTCACCCGCCCAAGGCCTGATCTAACATAATATGGCTTTTTGGGCTTCAGCCCATGGCCCGTGTATTCAAGGGGCAAGTCAAAGTAAAAAATAGACCATAATGCGAAAGAGTATAGTTGGTGGTACCTCAGTATTAGCCCAGGGTCTAAACTCACGGTCCGGCCCTGCTCCCGCCATCTCTCCCTGTTGGCATATTGCCTGGTACACCTGGCGACTATAGACTTACCAATTCAAAATTATTACTTATTTTCTGCAAGTAAACTTAGAGCAGGTTTACACGTCTCTACCTTTACCATTGTTACGAGAAAGTAATATGGTCCAGTGATGAGAAGAAGAAGCGCAATAAACTCAGATGCTATTGTAAATATATGTAATAACATTAATATCTCAGTGAAGGTAAATTATTACAGAGGCTATCGCAGACCTAGACCTGTCTTGTGACTTGACAAAAAAATGTTGTAGCTCAATCATCACAACAACTCTTATTTGTTGTTACATGTATACTTCTGAATGCATTATTATTTATGTAAATTTCATCTAATTAAAATTATTGATCGATAACACCGTTATCTTCAGCCAGCTGGTGGAAGCTTATTTTTATCGTCGTGACTTGCGAATTAAATATCTTTCGGTGAAAAAAACAATGATAATCACCTATTCAGCTCATAATATTTTGTATACAAACAAAGATAAAAATAATAATCTTAGAGCTATTTTGGTAATGATACCTAGACACCTATGCCTACACACTGATATTATGATATATTGCCATCGTATTAATTAATATCTTAGTATTTTATCTGTTTTACATCTGCCCAATTTTGTCTTAATCACAATTAATTACAATAGATTTTCTTAGTATACTCGTAATTTGGTACTTTCAGGAAAACTTGTACACGACGATAAGGCTGCAAAAGACTCTGACGCAGGATTTGCCACCGTCGAGGAGTCTAATGTGGGGAAGAAGAACATCGACCGAGGTACTAATAACACTCGTACATCAACGTACGCATATCTTAGCGAATATTTACTCTTTTAATACAATACAAAACCTATGATCACGTGCCTTAGTTTATTTGCACAGGAATTATTTATCATGGCAAAGCACACAATGATAAAAACATAACAATTTGCAAACATCGTTCGTAATGATAAAGCGCAAAATTAAACATACTCAGTTAATCAACAAACTGTTCTTAATTGATCAATTTACTTGTCTACATTTGAAATTAAAGCAGTTTAAAAAAAAAACAACTTTTACCTCAACACATAAAACCAGTTTTTTGAAGCCTGCAACGTCCTAAACATGAGATCAATTCACAGCGTATTATTTCTTGTAAGTGTAACTAAATCATGCTGTTCATTTGCCACATCATTTTTTGTCAATACCACCCGTGCTCACGTATCATACTTGTTTGCCCTATCATCATCATCATGAAAAATCTTCAATTTCCAGTATGGAGCGACGAGGACCTAGTGGCCCAAGCGGTGCTGTTCTTCATCGCCGGCTTCGAGACGGTCAGTCAAAGTCAAAAGATGTTTATTCATAACTATATACTGTTTACAAATATTCCAAAATAAAAATAAAATAAAATAAAAGACTAATTATCGCCACAAAAAAAGGAAGAGGAAGACCCCAAACCGCATGATTGACGTATATCCAAAAGGACATGAAAGTATTGGGACTTCATGAACAAGACGTTTAAGATAGAATCAAATTATGTCTATTATTTAAGGCGTTGTGCTTTGTATATTCAGCCAGTTAAATGCATAGCTGGACACTGATTTCAGTGGACGCCTTGGGCTTATGGGCATGCTGCGTTATCAAAAAAAGAAAAAGACTGGTAGACTGCATCCTACTTAACATCAGGTGCGATTGTGGTCAAATACCTGCCTTGTCATGCATAAAAAAAGACTAATAAAAAAACTTAGATTTGCTCTTATGTAGGCCTAAGATGCGCGCCGTGATAACTTTTATCGACGTCAATTTGTATGGGCAAAATCGATAAAATGGCGTGATAACCACCTATCACGGCGCGCATCTTAGGCCTACTGAAATATTTACATGTCTCATACTTTTTGCCCTACCAGGTGTCCTCAGCCATGTCCTTTGCCTTGCACGAGCTGGCCGTGAACCCCGACGTGCAGGAGCGGCTGCTGCAGGAGATCCGGGACAACGACCGCAAGAACGGCGGCAAGTTCGACTACAACTCCATACAGAACATGGTGTATCTGGACATGGTGGTGTCGGGTTAGTATTTTGTTAGTCTACGCGTAGAATAAAATAGAAGAAAAAGACCCCACACCCTCTCTTATCCTATTTTGTTAGCTGTGTGGTTCTGGTAAAGTAGGATAGTGATATAACCACTTCCTCGGTCTAAGTGGATGTCGTATGAGGCGACAAAGGAAGAAATATATGAAAATCAGCCTTAATCAATACGTCTGACTCTCTTTTGCTTCTGGTCAATTAGATTAGAGAAAGTCGTCATCCTGCAAGGAAGAATAAAAAACTCTTACTTATTACAATACTCGTAGTTGTTATTCCCTTAATTTTACTATCAGGGTGGTATTTTGTACAAATTCGTCAAAAATATATCTTTATTCGTAGAGACTAATTTAATAGTTCTTCGTCAAATGCTCTAATGGAGCCTATACATGGCTATGTCTCATTTTTTTTGCCCAACATGCATCGTCGAAAGAAATTGGTAAACTTAATTTTCTGACATCACCTCTGGATGGGTTATAATGGGTTATATTGCAACATGTTTGGCATTTACAAAATTTAATTAATTTTAAACTTTCGCGTTGCATAATTGAATATATCAATCTTTATGGGCTTACTTCCTATTATTAATCGAGCCCCTGTGCCATTGCAGAGGTGCTGCGCATGTGGCCGCCCGGCATCGCCATGGACCGGCTGTGCGTCAAGGACTACAACCTCGGCCGCCCTAACAGCAAGGCCACGCAAGACTACTACGTAAGTTGCTGTGGTTTTGGTATCTTCGTGAATAGAGTCAGTAAGCATTAGTTTTTATTTTAGTGGAACGTCCACCCTCAAGGTGGACCGACGACATCATAAAGGTAGCAGGAAAGTGCAGGACGTAGGCCGCTACCAACCGGGTAACATGGAAAGCATTGGGGGAGGCCTATGTTCAGCAGTGGACGTCCTATGGCTGAGATGATGATGATGATGATGATGATGAAGCATTAGTTTTATCATGTGCTGGACTGATCAGGTCAAAACCACACTCAATGGTCTACTCCACGAGTGTACAAGAAGGTCTATTCCACTTTGATCATCTGGCTTTGATCACCCAGGTGATCACAAGAAAGACTGCAAGGAATGGTGACGGATTGTGAAACTTGCCACCAAACCAAGTGTGACGACTACGATCACTCTGCTAAGAGCGTAACGATGAAGAAGAAGAAAAAAGCATTAGCCAGGTGTACCTTAACCCATTTAGCCCTACCGTACCCTATGTGGTACGGTGTCTTTTTGAAAATATTTCGATGTACCAAATTGTTGTTAACTTATTAAAATAATTGAAAAAAAATGATTGAAACAGTAAGCTTAAAGTGATTATTTTACAAAAAAATATTTAAAAATATGTTTTAACAAGTGGTTTCGGAAATATTTATGAAATTCCTCGACAGAAAACCAAAAAAATATTTACAATGTATTTAAGAAGGTATAATTTCTTTTTATTCATGGTAAATTATGTTATTTATCAATTTTATTTTAAAAATAGAGTACCATAGATATCATGACTACAAAAAAATATTATTAAGATTATTTTTATACGGTTTATTCCAGTCTAAAATAGGTGTACCGTATAAGGTACAGTAGGTCTATGCATTAACAAATCATGCGAAAAAATAAAATTTATTTTTTATTATTTTTATTTGTTTTAGGCTATTGATGCTTCACTATATTGCCACAACTCGTGAAAAATTTGATAATTTCAACAAACAAAGCAATCTTGGTATTTTTCTACTGCTGTCTTGTCAGATGACCACTAATGATGATCAGACTGACGAAAATTTAGGCAATAAAGATAGTGTCAATGTAAATAATAAAGCTCAGAGTTTTCTTCGATGGATTTGCTAACTTTCCATCGTCGTGTTGCTAAATGTGATTATGGATAGCACTAAACGTAACAAATCAGAAGAAGCCAAGTCTTCTTCAGCTATCCTCACTAACTTCGGAGAAGGTAGGAAAAAAGAACCAAATGTGGTTAGTATCACAGAAAACGTCTTACAAGATATGCCAAGTGTGATACTAGTGATGATGTGATTTAATTTTTATTTTATATCATACAAAAATTAATAAAAATCTTTTTTGAACAACGACTATGTTTTGCATGCTTATAGACCTACTGTACCCTATATGGTACGGGCTTCCCACGGCCCCCTATTTATGGATTATTTTTTTAAATATTTTTTTCATGGTTTTTAGGCTTCCTTTTGTAAGTTTTTACTGAAAAATCATTTTTTATTTAGAAAAATAATTATCGGTCTAAATGGGTTAAGTGGGACACAAAGTCACAAAATACTTTTGAGTTACTGACTACTAATACGTGATTTATCGGTGTGAATGAACTTAAAACAGAATGTTATTCTTTCAAATATTAACCTTTAAATGAGTTCATTATTATTTGCAATGATAAAAAAACTGAACTGTCGTGGAATTTAACGACTTTGATGTACCCACTCATGATGACACTGGCATTATTGAGATTTGACCTTTTTATAGGGGTTATCGGGATTATCGTTTTAAGTAAACTAAATTATAATTGACTAGTCATCATTTCATTTAAAAATGTAATGATCTGATGATGATGGCATAATAACAAAACATTGCAGGAGTCCAAGGCTTTGGCCTCATACTTTGAACACTCATGATACCGTCAACCTCTCTGGAGAGTATACCCCGTCCATATCATTACGAAGCAGCGCCCTTTTTACGGAGCTACTTGCCTCCCGGTAGTGGTGACTGTGCATTTCCTCCGCGTGAAAAAGCTAACATTGGACCTGTTCACTTTGTACTCCATACACACACAAATTGTATTGTATTTATTATCTTCCTTATTACAAATAATTTCATCTAATATTAAGTATACTAGCGGCCTCCAGCGACTTCGAAAGCGTGGATCTTACCCCCTGTCTACTCACGGACATTGCCCGCGGGTGGCGTGACCGGAGGGAGCGGCGAGCGTTCGGCGAACGAACGAGCAATGTTCGGTTCGCGAGCGAACATAGCAGAAGACGATCCTGACGCACTCTCTTCAACGACTTTGCACTAAACGGTCTCGATATCATTGTAAATTTATACCGAATAGACAATTAATTTTATACGGTCCACTCTTTTCATTTAATAACTTCCACTACACTCACTATCGAAGTAACACCCCCGGGTGGAGTTTCGTAAAATTCGTTCTTAGTGAACTCTGAAATTTGAGACTTGTAACACTTGTAGTTTCTGATATTTCTTGATGAGTGAGTGAGTCAGTCAGTGACCTTTCGCTTTTATAAATATAGTAGTTTTTTTTTTATTTAGAAAACAAACACGCTACAAATACACAAACTGCATAGTATAAACTAACATGAATGAGGGCTATCGTTTTAGCGCTCACCAGTTAGCGCCACTGTAGAGTAAGGTCCTGTCACTTGCTAGTAGCGAAGACAGTGGCGCTAACTGGTGAGCGTTAAAGTGGTAGGAGGACTATCGCAATGGGGATGTTGCCTGGGTCAAAAAGCAAGAGTTTTAATTAGTCCGTCATTTAACTTATCAAAAAATACTCTACACGTATTTTTCACTTTTTCAAACTAATGAAAATTTAAAGAGATAAAGCGCCCCAAAGTTCATAAGAAGAGGCCCGTGACGTCAAATTTTTTTAGGCAACTAGCCTATTGCACTCATCGAGATGGCGCCACTGTAGAGTAAGGTCCTGTCACTTGCTAGTAGCGAAGACAGTGGCGCTAACTGGTGAGCGTTAAAGTGGTAGGAGGACTATCGCATTTGCACTCATCAAGATGGCGCCACTGTAGAGTAAGGTCCTGTCAATCGCCAGGGGTGCCAACTGTTAAGTATAAAAACGATAGCCCTCATTGCATAGTAAATAGTGATGGGCCGACTATGGTCTTTGCCGACTAACCGACTAGCCGACTAATCGGTTTTCAAATTGCCGATTAGTCGGCCGACTAGTCGGCAATGCCGATCATTCTAATACCTACTTGTCCGAAGAATAATATCTAGATTTCTCAAAGAAATAAGAATATAGAGATAGATAGATAGCTAGATTTCTAAAGAGATAAATACAAACTTCTTGAGAAATGAGATTTCTTTAACTATGAGAAAAAATAAAAAGCAACATTACAATCACCTAACAGTAGATGTTATAATTTTCGACGGCGGATGGGTGAGGAGGTGACAATATGATCGCCTCCTGCTGGGCTAGGATGCGCACCGTGATATTATTCTTACGAATCGACGTCAAAATGTATGGGCAAACTGCGCTTATCGCGGCACGCATCCTAGGCCCACTAATTCCTCTCCACCCTCCACGGTGATGGTCAGAAGCTGGGGGCGTGGGGGTACCCCCGCCTACATAGCACGGACTACCACCACCGTCAATAGGCAGGGCCCGCTAATTGCTGGCCAGCACAGACTGTGATAGTTGATGGCTTTGTCCGGATTCCCATAGTTCTTCACACTAAGGCGATCGACGGAGCTCAGGGGTTAATTTATGTGGGTATTCCTCATCCTTCCGATGAGAGGAGTCCCACATAATCCACTTTATTACTTATTTACCACACGATTTATTATTTATTTATTTTATGGACAAATTACATAAACTTTACACATTTTTGATGATATCCTGGTAATTTTAACTAATATTAACTTTGTATGAATTTAGACTGATTGCCAAATTTTTAAATCAGGTGAAACCACCTTTTACTGATTTTTTGCAGTCAAAAATGGTTAAGATAAACGCCCTTGGTCTACCTCATAATCATCTTGATAATTATGAGTTTTATTTCATTTTTTAATGCGCCGATTATAATCGGCAGATTTTGCCGAATAGTCGTCACTAGTCGGCCGACTACAAATTATGCCGAATAGTCGGCGACTAGTCGGCCCATCTCTAATAGTAAAGTGACATGATTTGTACCCGCAGATCCGCGCGGGCGAGGCGCTGGCGGTGCCGGCGTGGTGCTTCCACCGCGACCCGGCGCTGTTCCCCGACCCTCTTCGCTTCGACCCCGAGCGCTTCTCCGAAGAGAACAAGCACAACATCAAGCCCTTCACCTACGTGCCGTTTGGGCTCGGACCGAGGAACTGCATCGGTAAGATTTTGTTTATTCGTTTCAGCCAAATGACGTCCACTGCTCGGCAAAGGCCTCCCCCAAGGATTTCTACACCGATCGGTCCTGAGCTGCCCACATCTAGATATGTCGGTCTACCTAGTGGGGGGCCTGCCCACCACACTACGTCTTCCGACCCGTAGTCGTCACTGAAGAACTTTTTTGCCAAAGCTAGCAAAGTGGCTTGATATCTGCAGTTCTGTGAATTATGTCGGTAACTTTGGTTCTCCTACGGTAAGACTTATTTTGTAAATTATCTCAGGCTGAAAGAAACGAAAACTCAGCTAACCAAAGTCCATGAGCTGTTGGTATTCTATGGTCTCAAAAAAGTGATAAGTCCCTTAACTAAGTAGCTTCCATGGCAATGGCTTCCACTTTCAGGTTATCAGTCTCAAATTTTTAACAAATTCCACCGTGAATTTTAAAATGAGAGGAGAAATCAAAAAGAGTAAGCTACCTAAGTTAAATCGTTAAAACGTGATTTTACGTGTTTCTTGCTGGAAAATTATCGGTAACTTAATTTGCTAAATATTTCAATTTGCAAGACTTATAAAGTAATTAAAAATGTACCTACCTGAATTTGGGGGAGGCCTATGTTCAGCAGTGGACGTCCTATTGCTGAAATGATGATGATGTATGAAATTAATAAATATATTATTGATCTCTTCCTTTATTACGAGTAGGTACTTTAATGTGCCAGAATGAGTATCTGATAAAATAAACGATTTTTGTTTATTTATTTAGACTTTACCATCAAGTGATAAAAGGTCCTTAATTCTTTCCTCCATGTCCACCAGGCTCCAGGTTCGCGCTGTGCGAGGTGAAGGTGATGCTGTACCAGCTGCTGCTCCACGTGGAGCTGTCTCCCGCAGCCAGGACCTGCATCCCGGCCCGGCTCACCACCGACACCTTCAACATCCGCATGCACGGCGGGCACTGGGTGCGGATGCGGATGCGGAACTGATACTTATCAATAAGTCAAATTAAATCTTCTTATCTATATATATAAAAGAAAGTCGTGTTAGTTACACCACTTATAACTCAAGAACGGCTGAACCGATTTAGCTGAAAATTGTCAGGGAGGTAGTTTAGAGCCAGGAGAAGGACATAGGATACTTTTTATCCCATTCAAAATAAAAAAGAAGTCTGCTTATTTATTGCCATTAAGGCGGAACAAAGTTCGCCGGGTCAGCTAGTGATATAATAAAATGAACTTTTTGTAAATTGATTAGGAAAACGATGCAAATACAATACGGCTCTGATAGGTGGATTATTTTTGTGCACCACAAAATAGAAATAAAAAATAAATATCGAAACAACACAATTTATTAGGTCTTAACACTAGAATTAGATCTCTTCCAGTCAACCCAGACTTGATAAAACTTTAAACTTAATCTTCAGGAGTAAGCATATAATTTCTCAGAGCCATAAGTATACAAAAAGGATATCAATATAAATAAAAATGAATTGCTATTCGTTAGTCTGATTAAAACTCGAGAACGGCTGGGCCGATTGAGCTGATTTTGGTTTTAAAATGTTTGTCGTAGTCCAGGGTAGGTCTAAACGGTGAGCAAATAAGGAAAAATTGCGATGGCTTATTTATTGCCTTTAAAGCGGAACAGAGTTCGCCGGGTCAGCTAGTAAAAGATAAAATAAAGATAGAGATTTATAGATCGCCTTTCCATCTCTATTACCCACCCACACTGGGTATTAAAATTTATTGTGGGAAAAAAAAGATGAAAAATTATTTTACAACAGTTGCCAATAGTATATTTTAATGTTTAAGTTTGTATAACTATTTATAGTTTTAGGTTTAGTATTAGGCAAGGATTTTACAATGATATTATAAATCATATCATCAGAAATTTTATTGCAATTAAACACTAAAGAAATAATATTTGCTGTCAGGTCTTTTAATAAAAAACATTCGTAAGTACCTAGAAGTTAAAACTAAATCATTTTGGATTTCAATAAAATTTACATAAATTGATGAGAAGAATAGGTCCCTACATCTAAATTTTTTATGATTTTATTGTATTGTAACAAGCTTGTGATTTTTATTGTTTCGAGTTCTTTATATGAAATAAGTTATGATAAGAATAGTTAGTTACTGTAATTTTACTAATGAAATTTTATCTTTATCGAGGTTTTTATTAATTAATTTAAAATCAATCAAACTTAATAAAATTGATGATTAAAGAGTGTTTGAGGTATAATTTATTTTTAAACATGTTTCAGCCCTCATTTTAGATCATTGTATCTAAATTATGAAAATTCATCAGAGTTTAATAAAATTACGATACGAAATAAACGATTTTAATGAGGGTTTCCATAATTACGCTCACTAGTTAGCGCCACTTGACTGCCGTGTAAAGTCCTGTAACTTACTTTTGGCTAGGACAGTGGCGCTAACTGGTGAGGGAAACCCTCATTAAATTCATCGTCATCATCATCATCTCAGCCATAGCACGTCCACACTGCTGAACATAATGTAATGCACTCCCCCCAATGCTTTCCATGTTGATCGATTGGTAGCGGCTTGCGTCCAGCGCCTTCCTGCTTACCTTTATGATGGCGTCGGTCCACCTTGTGGGTGGATGTCCCACGCTGCGTTTTCCGGTACGCGGCCTCCACTCCAGAACCTTGCTGCCCCATCGGCCGTCAGTTCTGCGTACCTACTAGGTGCCCTGCCCATTGAAATTCATCGTTAACCAATGCCATAATATAGGAACCAATAAATACTCTACTATGGAACAGGGGCAGATGATCGTCTTCTCGCCTCGAGTGAACCAGCCTGGATTACCCCGAGGCCTGTCTAATGCGGAATCTAATCTCATTTACTTGTAAGAGAGATGGTACGAAATAGAAAAAACGCTACGTTTTTCTCAGTGTCCTAAAACTTATTTTACCTTCTCATCGCAGGATAAGAAGAAGAAGAATTTAATAAGATAATTATGTAGATATAATGTGCCAAATACAATGGTATTTGGCACATTATATCTACATAATCTTATTAAATTCTTATGGTCTTCATGGCAATCTGATGATACCTAGTTTTATCAAAATCCATTCAGTACAGTCAGTTTTGTCGTGAAAGAGTAACAAACATTCATATATCCTCACAGTCTTTCATTTGTAATGAATTTTACTTGGAAAATAATAACAGTAGGAATGTTAGTCCCATAATTTAAGGAATTTAATTTTTTTACCAGCTTTAGTTTGGGAAAATAATTAGTATTTTAATAACTAAGTGATAACATTATATAGCTGAAAAGTCCACGACGCGTTCATCAACCATTGTGCGGTCTCCTTTACCTTGAAACTGATAAAGTTAGGGTTGCCCCAGATATGGAAGTTGCAATTTGACATCTAATACAGCGCGATGGAATACAAATCCAATCACCAGCCAATTTAAATAACCACGAGTGAGTTAGGGCCCTATTGATCGTGTGCACACGCCTTTAGCATTCTAATGTAGGCAAGAAGTGCAGCTGAGTCGGCACACACTAGTGGATGATCAGATTATCCTATTGAACTTGATTTCAATCTCAAGTGATATTGACATTCTAATGATGATATTCTTTCTTTCTGTATTGGGTGTAAGATGTCAACTTACAGATTATTTGTTGTTGCATTTTTTCATTAAGCTTCCAAGTATTATGGAATACCTACATACCTACTAATAGGTAATTTAAGAGCTTTTAGAATATCAATGTACCTTAGGTACCAATTAAGAGTGAGAAACATCGTGCAATCAAATTAGACGTCTTTAACTATTCATGTAAAAGCAGTAGATTTTGTCTTTAAATTTTCCTTGGCTTCGAAGATTCGATATGATGACGCAGCTAAAACTCTTCATACCCACTGCAGCAAAGATTACTTTTATCAATATCTTTTAAAATAACAGACTGTCAATTTCGTGTTATTACATCAACCTTTCTAAACCCTCCTTTTATTTGAAAACCTTTATTTTTTATAGGCGTAAGGATTAACAAATACCTTATTACGTTTTTGCTAACCTATACAAATTAGAACTGCGTTTGCAGAGCGCTCCTCATCAGGCGAGCACAATGGCGAGGCTCCCTAGGGAGAGGGATTAATTGGCCGAAATAATTCGCCAAGTAATTAACAGTCTGTAATAAATGCTCACTATTTGAGCTACGACATAGCGAGGACGTAACCACCAGCTCACTGTTACAAAGAAAACTGTCGTCATCATCATCTTCTTTACATGTCGACAACAAACCTACACAGTGTCAGCCCAAAACTCCGCCACAAGAGTGGCGTTGTCAGTAGCACTCATCAAATCCTCCTGAGTGCAGTTCATAATCATAATCTGATATTAATTTCAGCCATAGGACGACCCAGCCCAATGATTCCCATACGGTTAAAACTGTAGTGTTGGAAAAGCGCAGTAGAGAAATATTATGTAGAAGGAAGTCCCCATGGAAATTGTGATTCGTGAAAAGCTTAACAACGCCATGCTGTAAGTTGCTAGTACAAATTCTAAAGGTAAGTCAGTAAATGCTAATGTAATGAGAAATCTAGATAAATATAACTGATGAGAGCGACTTTAATAAAAAGGTAAAAGTTCCTTCTTGCTGCCATCCTTCACTTCATCGTCCTGGCGGTTGAATATGACCTACGTAAAGGAATGGATATTACTTTATTTCTCCTGCCTTGATGTTTATGGATTTTTATCTTATTTACCTTAAACCTAAACCAATAAGTAGTTTATTTTCCTATTGCCTCTAAACAATTAAAACTGTGTTCTTATCAAAAAGGAACCTTGAACAGGCATGAAATGTGTAGATCTTTAACTAAGTATTTCTAATTCTATTTTACAATTTCATTAAAATCTTATTTAAAAACTTCTTTTATAATTTTATTTTTACAAGTTTCAAACAACATTATAAAAAGTATCTCAAATGACTTGTGGAGTCCGATGCCATTTAAAATTATTTTGTTATTATGTTGTCAGCAGTGCAGGATGCAAAGGAAAAAGGAAAACTTTTGACTATCAAGTTGCCAGTAGTACTTGTAAAATGGTGGCAATTTATTTTTCTCAATTTATAATATTTTGTGTTAATTTGTTTAATTAATGTGAAATAATGATGAATTATTTTATTAGTGAACCTGCATGCATAAACATCTATAATCATCAAATTATATCTCTATTTATTTTTATTTATTACAAAACACACAATGGCCAAACCACCAGAAGCCAAAAGGAAAATCAACAAAAAAAGTTTAATTTAAAAAATTCACTGTCACCGAGCATACCTTCAAATATTTTCTGTTCAGTTTGTTCAATTTAAAACCCACCATTGCTTTGTGTGTTCGACAAAATTAAGAAAAATACAAAATTTTGGAAAATATGGTGTGTTCGTACGGAACTGTACATGTAAGTATGCAGCATATAGGTAAAGACGTTTGATTTACACCTAAGTATTGCGAATATGAAATTAACTTGTGCTTTTTTTGGTGCTAGGTAGAAGTGGGAAGAAACGTTGGAGAAAGGTGTATCGAGGCACGCAGCAGTGATGATTCATGGAGTCCCATCGGTGGAAAAAGGTAAGTGGATTATAGAAAATGTTATGCTTTGGAATGTTCATAGGTAAATTATTTTTTCTTCGACCGTTAATATTACTGTGGTTAAACTTTCTGTGAAATTACCCTCAAAAATTTACATCGTATTTTAATGACCGATTTTGCTCATCACTGTGAAATTTGAAAAAACTTTATTGCTGTTTTCTTATTTTATTTTCATTAACTTATTTTCATAAAATCATTGTACCTACCTACCTATCCACTTAGCAAAAATATGGTGCACATTTTCCAACACATAATGCGTGCATAGCGCCATCTACACAAGTATTAAAGCACTACGTGAAAACTCAGTAGCCATTTTCCGAGAACCGCTTTTCATGCGTGCTTTATCAGTGCTTTCAACACAAAGTTGTACGAGTATTCGGTATGCGCTGCTAGATGTCTCTCACGTCGGCAAATTCAGGTTTTTCATGTAGGCGGAAGCCGCGGAAGATATTCAATATTTTTTGCGTCAGTTTTTACTGTGTTAGTTACAGTACATTAACTAAGTACGGTTAGGTTTTAAATTCTGTTTTGTTGTGAAGTTACATAGTCCAAATTATAACGGTTCGATGCCTAGAATCAGTGGCAAATACTTTAGTGCTCGGACTGCTCGGCCATCTTCACACTATACTACTCATTGTCAGCTGCCGGCTGATTTATTAAATTACCTAGCTTAAAACTAAGACTTTAACTGACATAATCACAGAATTTGCATTAACATAATGGGAAAATGATTATAA